AGCATTGATCTTAAGTCCGGCTTCTCGAAGCCTTCGGAGAACTTCATCCAACTTTTCAACGTGATCTGCTAGATCGCTGTTAGTTAGAATGAGTAGATCGTCAATGTAAGCACGGACGTATTCCAGGTCGTGCATAAGTGTTCCCATCTTCTCTTGGAAGATGTCGGGACTATTACATAGGCCCATTGGCAACCTCTGGTACTCGTACTTTCCCCAAGGGAGTACGATAGTACAGAGTTGTTTCGAGTGAGGTGACAGCTCAATGTGATAGTATCCCATGTTCAAATCTAGACTGGTAGCGTACTTGAATCCATCTAGATTCAAGAGCATGTCTTGTATCTTTGGGATCGGATAAGGTTTTCGCTTAATCCTTTTGTTCAGTTCCCGGAAGTCAGAGATGAACCGTACAGATCCATCCTTCTTGGGAATGATAAATGTTGGTGCCGCCCACTCGGAACGGTTTACCTTCTTGAGTACTCCTGCCTCGCAGAGACATTCAACCTCCATCTTAAGAGTGTTGGTATGGACACGTGGAATAGGATAAGCCCTAGCGTGATAGGGTTTAGCATCAGGGAGAAGTTCTACTTCGTAGTCGTCCATCTGCCACTTTCCTAAAGTACCATCGAATAGGTCGGAGTACTTGGTCAATAAGGCATGGAGCTGTTCCTGCTCTTCCTTATTTAACTGATCCTGACTTTGGCATACCTGCCTTAAGTCAGCTTGTTCGTATTTCGCATCAAGAATCTTCTTGAGACGATCTGCACTGTCATCGACAGCTGTAGGATCAGGAATGAAGTGCAGAAGAAGTTCTCTTCTTCATTGGTATTGCTATCTTTCATAGGAATAGATATGCCGTCCCATTCCACTGACATGGTGGTGAAATCAAACTTAAATCCTAGATCAGAGAGAATGTCTCAACCTATCATCATGTCAAGCTCTTGGTGACGTGTAAATCCCATTCGATAATCCTATCGTCATGGAACTCAGGAAGGCACCCTTGCACTTCGTGCTGGTGTTTAATTCTCCTGCAGGGGTAGTCCACATTGTTTGGACGCCCCCAAGATCCTTCATGCGTAATTTCTTAGCATGAGTTTGAGCAATCAAAGTTCCGGATGCTCCTGTATCCAGTAAGCAACGGAGTGTAACGGGTTTTGGTTTCCCTTTTTCTCGTCTGTTAAATCTAACATAGACGATAGGTTTGAGGTCTCTTGTCTTGCGACGTTTACGAGGTGGTTGGCCACCGGACGAGGTTAACAATGCTAAATAGATCGTCAGAATCTAATTGAGCAGCTTCTAGGCAATCATCTAATTTGCCGTAGACTTCATCAGTTGCAAACAATTCTTGTTTACTAGTTAGTGAGATATCTTCATCACTTAGGTATGAGAAATCGGAACATGGTTCCGTTGAATCATCATCCTGGCCTAATCCTCAGACGGAGATTTCTCCATCCGATTGATTGAAATCGAAGTCGGCAAGAGCCTTGTCGACTGCGGCCATCTTCTTGTCCATCATGTTGAGGGACCCGACAGAGGAGTTATCCTCGTCATCAGAGTCATCCGACTTGCGCTTGGCAACATGGTTGCATTCGCTTTTCTTCTTGCGATCAGCCTTGACCGCAGCAGTGGAGACTTTCTTCATAAGGACAGAAAGTTCCTTCTTGGTGTAGGACTTGGCATCGTCAGACTTACGTTTCCAAGTCTTGTTCTTGTTGTACGCTGGCTTGCTATCGTTACCAGACGAGGACTTGGACTTGAGTTTCTTCAGAGTCATGCAGTCAGCAGTATCGTGAGTGCTGGACTCGTGGTAGTCACACCACTTTCCTTCGTTCTTGGAGGAGTGGTTGTTGTTGCGGCTAGACTTGTACTTTTTGCTGCTGTTCTTCTTCGAAGTAGCTTGCTTGGCATCGCTGCCTTTGTCAAAGTCTTCAGCAGATTCCATGCGCTCACAGAATCCAATGAGAGCCGTCATCTCGGCAGTGAAAGGATCGAAGTCGTGTTCGTCCATCTTGCGCATCCAGGAACGAGGAATGCCATGACAGATGATGTCAATGAATTTGTCCTGGTTCAACTGTTGATTGGCACTGAAAGGTGGCAAACGTGGAAGCTCATCGGTATTCATCCGAGTGAGGTTGTTGATGTAGGCACGAGTTGTAATCTTGCTAGGCTTGCGCATCTTACGACGCAAGAAGCGTTTCTGTTTTTCGAGAGCCTTGTAAGGACAGGCTTGTTCGATCACCGCGTTGATTCCAAAGGTGATGTCAGCATCGCTTAGAGCAGGTTCTGCTGCACCGTCCCATGCAGCTTGGACACGAGCTTGGAATTGGACTTCGGTTTCTCCAGAATTCACGTCGCGTGGAGCAATTGCATTCACAGCAATTTGTCGAAGGGCGTTATGACGCACGGCACGACTGCCTGCACACCCAGCTTCGTAGGCACTCTTTGCAGAGCTGGAAGTCATCTCCTTGAGAAGACGATATTTGTTGTCGGCACCAGCAAGGTTGAGTCCAACGAAGACCTTCTCCATATTCGTGGCCCACTTGATGGTCTCACGTGGAGGGTTGGAGCCATTGATGATGGCTACCTTGAAAGTGTACTTGGCACTATTTGCGTCTGCAGGAATGGTGCGAAGTTTGTAGGTGGTTGCACGAGTGTCGTCGACCTGGTTGTCTTCGTCATTGTCGACGAGAGGAAGAATGGGTTTGTCACGCAACTATTTCTCGAAGTTGCTGAATGCATGCTTTCCTTGAGCAATCTTCATGGTGAAGGAATATGTTGAGGGTAGCTGAAAGCTATTGTGTTTGTTAACAAAATGCACTACGCTAAAAGCTAGTGTAAAGATCTTTCGAGTGTTTTGAGTTTGAGAGAATGAAAGTTATGAGAGAGATTAGAAAGCTACAAAAACTAATCCATGAGAGAGATCGTTGTGAAGCTCATTGAAGTTGGTCTCCCGCGGGAGGCCTCGAAGTGTGATATCGTAGGTTATGGTAATAACTCTAAGTACTCCACGGTCCATTTCCGGAACAGGTGGAAACTTCAGCTAGTAGCTGTCCAGTAGCGTGGAAGCTTTCCACGCCGGCTAAATATCTAGAGCGATGTTCCATCGACAACCTAGTATGACTAGCAGTCATGAGAACCCTGTCTCAATAACTATTCGCGAAGGACTACGTCATGAGTCGAACTCAAACCCTATCTAGGATCGAGTCGCGAATAAGGCTAAGAGCCGTGTATTGCACTTGGCCAATGGACTAAGCAAAGTGGCCAATTGAGGACATTTACTGGCCACGTTTTGGCCAATCACTGGCCAATCGGTACTGTTTTACTATAGACTTTGAGGCCAATCATTAGCCAATCAGTGGCCAATCAGTGGCCAAGTTCTGGCCAATCGAAATGCTATGTGGCAAATCGTTGGCCAATCAAAGGCCAATCGTAGGCCAATCAGTTCTGCAGGCTTAGAAAATAGGACATCATTTTTGCAACTTGCGGTCCAGAAATCTCGGAGTGCGGTGCTGGACCTCTGTGGCTTCCGGAGGCCTATGATTCCTACCGTATGAGAACGAACCGGCAGGTTTTGTATTTGATACCGTAGTCAGTAGTACTGTACAGAGTTCTACACAGACCGGCGGTTACAAATACAAACCAGCCGTTATTCGTTCCTAACAAAACGAACCGGTACTTAGGGCCGGCTGTGCCCCTTTGGTCTTCGGCCTGACCATCGGGCTGTCGGGCTTGCGCCCTCTCTTAAGCCCTAAGTCAGACCTCAGGCATTGGGTCCCTGCCTCATCCCCTAAGTAACCAGATCCGTTTTTTATAATATCCACCCCCCCAAAGACAGTATCGTACAGTACCCAAAAACGATACAGTACCAGAATCGGTACTGGTACTACTAGTAGCTAGTACAGCGTACTGGTACGGCTCCTGCTACGGCTGTAGCTATATAGACCGTTGGCTTGCAATCTACTCGCGACCCAACCAGTTGATTGTTCCAACCAGTTGACTATTGATCGGAACATCGCGAGGCCACCCTATCAATACCTTGATTGGGGATACATAATATGGATATGCTGGTTACAGTGGAGGTAGTGATTTGTTCATTTGGTGGTTGTGGGAGTGACGAATAGCCAGCAAAGTGGGGAACTCACTTTTGCTTTTTTTTTATGGGGGGCCAATAGCCTCCAGCTGTTCTTTGATCCCAATTCTGATCGAACCGAGCCACCCCACTGCAGTCATGTATACACCTATACCGGTACAGTCAAGGAAGCCTGGAGACAGCCCAGAGTGAAGCTGCTGTTCCTACGGGATTGTCAAGGACGAGATCGTTGAGGACTGTCGTCGAACGGCCGTCGTCGAACGGCCGATGGAAGACTCTATTAACTCGTTGATCCTACTCACTTTCAATGATCTCTTCCTCCCTAATGTGCATATTAGATCAACATGTAGGATTGGATTGATAGCAGAAGGGCCACACAGTCCGAAATAAAGTGAAGCTGAGAACTTGGGAATATTTGGATGAAAAATGAAGCATTCTAGTATATCATAAGATAATGCCTTCTACATGGCTGTTACCACTACAACCAGCACATGGCTGTGATGAGCAAAGAATGTAGACAACTCTAGATAGTTAGTTTGGTGGTGTACATGCCATATTGGTTGAGTTCATCTTACAATATTGCAGTGCTTTCCACATCATCTTTGTGGCTTCTTCAGGAAGAATTAGAAAGATATTTCGAATTTTACTAATTGTATTCTCCATTTAGCTAGTAAATTCAAATATTCTTAGTCTATTATCGTTATTTCATGCTTTTATACTGGCTGGTTCCGTGCAGTTTGCTGGTGTAAAGTCAGCCTCTACCAAAGTTGACTGTGAACTGGTTGGGTCGCGAGAAGCAATCGCCATTGGCACTTCCACAGCTGTGCTGCCTCGGGTCTCGATACTCGTGATTGAATCATCACCTTGCGTCGACGGCCACGAAAAAGAAATGATGCTGGAAGCACAGTCCGAACCGGAACAATCGTCAAGCTTCTATTCTGTTGCACGTGACGACCTTGACTCTTCAGCATCACTCTGTCAGTTGTGTCGTTGATCTCTCGAGAGGTCGATGCAGTTCATTCTTAGGCTGCAATGATAAGGATTTGAGGGCTCCAGTCCTCCAGCCCACTACTATATTACTTTCTTTCTTCTGATTGCTTGGTCGTTGGCAAACAGCAGGACCTCCGTCCATTGGGTTTTTTCAACATTCACTGCCCAACCAAGCTGTCATTATCATCAAGATGATGGAGCCAAGAAATCGACATCATAAGGGAACAAAAGGAGGCATACGCGTTTGGAGAAGACTTCATGTTTGTCTGTTGGGTTCTTGGGCCATTCCTTCCTGTTTTGGCTTTCTCAGGAGTTTCCCAACGTTTGCGCACAGCGGGTACAAGCGCCCTATCCAAAACCTATACACAGAATTTGACAACCATGATCCCCACGGCACTGATAAAAATCGTCCATGGCCAGCAAATACCACTGCCACCACAGCAACATTGCCATCTCGGCCAAGAAAAGGAGTTTCGGGCACGGATACCCCCAATTCCTGCTCCAAGAGGCTCTATGTATCTCGTGAAACCAAGAGCTCTGATCCCAAAACAAGAACAACAACAATGACAAAACATTTCGAGACAAGAAGAAAACCCAACAATCATCTCTCACAAAAGTACAATCTACAGCTACTCCTGATTGACCATTATGACTCTTTCACGTACAATCTGTTTGACTTGCTGGCTCAACTCTGTGAAAAACCACCCATTGTTTTGGCCAAGGACGCCTTTGAGGACTGGTCCGATGTGGTCCAAATGTACTCAGATATCCACATCGATGGAGTTATCTTATCTCCCGGACCTGGAACTCCCACGCATCCAGAAGATATCGGGACACTCTCGCCTTCCATTATAGAAAACAACCCGGACCTTCCGATTCTGGGTGTATGCCTGGGGCATCAAATCATGGGGCATGTGTACGGAGCCAAGGTGGATCTTTGCGGTCCTGTACACGGTCAAGTACGGACCATTGAACAAGAACTGCAGTATACTACTACTAGGAAGAAGGATGATGAGGTCCAAAACAGTGACTCAACAACAACAGAGGTGATGGATCTCCTTTGGAAGAACATTCCATCGCGGTTCAATGTTACGCGATATCATTCCCTTTCAGTTAGCTTGACTGACGATGCTCCCCTACGACCCACTGCGTTTAGCTCTGACCAAGATAGAGTACTCATGGGCATGAGCCACATGGAATATCCACATTATGGAGTGCAGTTCCATCCAGAAAGCATTGGATCCCAGTATGGGTTTCAGTTGTTGAAGAACTTTTGCGACATTGCAGTACGTCAACGACGACGTCTAGCAAAGACACGCCAAGTCAACGGAAATTCCCAGAGCACTGTCGATGGTCACGTCAATGGAGGCTCATCCGGATCCAATCATCAGCAACAGTATCGTCGAATCCAGCACGCTCCTATTCGACCAAATGGCCATGATAGACGGACGCAATCTCCGAACCACCGTACCAATGAATCGCCAACTGCTGCAGGCACTCGTGTGAACGGCGTCAAGGAAGACGCCACCGTCGGCAAGTCAAAGTACAAGGTATACGTCCACAGAGTTGATACGACAAGCAACGACGCTTCCCCGTTGCAAGTTTTTGAAGAGTTTTTGCGCACCGAGCCATATTCGGTTTGGCTAGATACCTCCAGAGGTATTCAGAGCAATCCCTGCACTGCAGGTTCCGGCTCTGCTACTAGTAGTGCACCTCAGTCGTACGCTTCTATTCTTGGCGCGGGAAACCGGCCTATCGAGTACTTTGGAAAGGAATACGGCGAACGGTATCAAGGCTTGTTTCGTCGCAATGATGCCGGGCAGCAAGTCAAGCTTGCTCATAAGGACATATTCTCGTTCTTACAAGAGGAACATGCCTATGCAACCGATCATGTCGAAATGGTATCTTTCCAGAATGATGGTTCGGTTCATCTGTCATCATCCGTACCAGATGATGGACATTCACTGCCCTTTGATTTCCGAGGTGGCCATGTTGGGTACCTTGGGTACGAAGTGCGACATGACAGCGAAAAATTCTTGGAGGAACAAGAACAAGGGGCTCGCGCCAAGTGGAAGCCTTCGGAGGACTCCTTGCGTAGCCCACCACCGCCCAAGAGCAAACAACAATCCAAAGAGAGAGTCCCTACTGCTGCCTTCCTCTTTCTAGACAAGAGCTGGGTTTACGATCACACTAACAAAGAGTGGTATCTGATTGGCCTAGTTGACCAACATGAGGATGCTAGCGGTCGTGACCTGAACGCAAGGACCGAGTCAACAATGCAATGGATGATGTCCACTGCTAGAAGGATGCAGTCCATGAGTGCTGAGCCCGAACATCAAAAATACATTGCCAATGTAAATGGTGGACATGATAGCGACTTGTCGGACAGCAAAAGATTGCCACCCTCCGTCGACTTTTCTCCGAATAGATCTCGCGATTGCTACAATCAGAATTTTGCTGACTGCCAAGAGCAGATACGCCTTGGAGAGAGCTATGAGCTGTGTCTAACGAACCAGTTGGAAGCCCAGGTTGCAGTGCTCGATCAAGCATCGTCTCCGCTAGACTTGTACAAAATACTGCGAAGACGGAATCCGGCACCGTTCTCTGCCTTTCTGAACTGGAACACGGCGAGCCGTGGTGATGGCACGAATGACAAGGACGAGTCCTCGTCAATGGCAATCTGCTGTAGTTCTCCGGAACGCTTTGTGTCCATCAAGCGTAAAAGAAAAACTCTGGACAACGGCTCGGACAGATCCGAAATGGAGCTGCAAGTGGAAGCCAAGCCAATCAAGGGAACATGTGCCCGAGTGCAACCCGTTGACCCTGCGACGGGCTTTTCCGCCACAGAGGCTGCTGAAGACATGCAACGCGCTCTCGATTTGAAATCGTCCATCAAGAACCAAGCAGAGAACTTGATGATTGTAGACCTGCTACGTAATGATTTGAGCCGTGTGTGCGAGGTAGGATCAGTCCATGTCTCCAACCTGATGGACATTGAATCTTATGCAACGGTGCACCAGATGGTTTCGACAATACGCGGCAGACTGGATCCTGCAAAAGCCAATGCAATCGATATCCTCAAGGCCACCTTTCCAGGGGGCAGCATGACGGGGGCTCCAAAGATCCGATCAATGGAAATCTTGGAGCGGCTTGAAGAAGGCGTCAGTCGCGGACCCTACTCTGGATGTCTCGGATACATCAGCATGAATGGCTCGATGGACATGAACATTGTGATCCGCTCCGCTGTCCTCCAGCCCACCGTGACTTCGAAACCACCATTGTCTGGGGCATTACAACCTTCTAGCGTGGACGAACGTCAATGGAAGGTGAGCATTGGTGCAGGTGGCGCCATCACAGCCTTGAGCGAAAGCACGGACGAATATGAGGAGATGATCCTGAAAGCTTCAGCTGTAATCCGAGCAGTAGAAGAATGGGCAGGTGTCCCGCAGGGAGATGCAGTTTTGAGGCTCTCGAAACAGAAGACAACCGAACCCAATTGAACAAACACAACAGACATAGACCATTTTTGCTACTGCTGTACTAATGACCAGCATCAATTCAAAGGAGCTGACGTTGTTCAAACGAAGACGAAGCTCATGCACTAGCTAGAGTTCAGTACATTTACCTTTGTAAAATGTTTTTCTATGTACAATAATTGATTTACGCATTCATGTCCTCTGTGTGGTAGCTCCCTGTCAACATGCTCTCCGCGTTGGGATGTACCTCGTCTTCTTTTTCCCTCGACTCATCTGATGATCCTTGATCACGTTCTGGTTCTTCTGGAGGGGCAGGAGCTTCTTCATCCGTCTGGTTGTTGTTGTCAGTGCTATTATTGCGATTATTCTTGTCCTCATCCTCACCATCTGGATTGACTCCCAATCGTTCATGCTCCCGTTCCACAAAGGCCACCAATTTCGGCACCAAAAAGGACCCCAGCAGCAACTGCATGGGGTGCCAAATCAGGAGCGGGAGAGTGTATTGGCCCACGTAGGGCGATGATTCGTAAATGGCATTGATCAGCGGCACCCCCATGGCAACTGTCTTGTGGGTGCAACCAAACAATCCCATGACACGTAGTTCGGGTGATTTTGGAAAGAACCAACCCAGGAGAATCCATGCCACAATCATAAAGAACACCAACAGCAGGAATTGGAAGAGAATCATCAAGAAGATATCACCCACTTCCGATTTGCCTTCATCCGAGTTGAAAGTACGGCAAAATACCGTGTAGACAATGAATACCAACGCGTATTGTTGCGCTTGTTTGAATTTGGGTTTGTGTAGTTTGACAAACTGGACGACGGTTTTGGAAAATTTCTGCAAGAGCTGTCCAATGGCCACAGGGAGTACGACCCGCAAACAGAGTTTGTAAAAGACTTGAAAGAGATCGACGTCACCAGTCACCCCCAGGTACCCCAAAATCAGGACTGGACTCAAAAAGACGCCACACATGTTACCAAAGGCAGCATTGAAAATGGCGGCGGCTTCATCTCCTCCCGCCGATTTGGTTAAGACGCAAACCATGTTGATGGTGAGTGGTAGACAAGCACAAACGACCATTCCATCGGCCAATGCTCGATCCAAAATCCCCAGTTCAATGAGCAACCGACTAACGCCAAAGACAGTGACGGATATGAGTCCAAAATTGAATGTTTGCACAAACAGATTGAAGCGTATTTGTTTGAAAGCGTTGGTGAGTTCTTCTGTTTTCAACCCCAAACCGGCCATGACTGTTCCACAAAAGAGACAGAAAGAGGAGGGAAAGTTGGATGTACAGTGGTTAGAATATAATACCATGAATACAACAAATACATCGATTCCCAGTTGCAAAGAGGGGCAACTTACTGAAAATGAAGACCACGGCAACTGTTTGCAATTGCGTGGAAAGTCAGTATATAGAAAGAGAAGAAATGGCAAGAGTCAGATACCCCCAAAATCAAGTCTCATACGGTACCCACGCCTTGTGTGTGTTGGATTGTCCACTAATTCAACACAACTAACTTACTCCATGTCGCTGTGATATGTGGAGCCAGGTAGACTGCCCCGAGAGGCGGATAAGCCCTGGCCAATAGAATGACAATGACGATCAAGATGACGAATTCATTGGCCCAATAAAACTTGACAAATCGTTCCCAACAAGTTGGTTTGGGTTCTTCCAAATCTTGCGTATTATTATTATTGTCGTCGTCGCGAATGATGGTGGGTGCCGATATTTCGGGTGGTACCGGAGGCGTTTGGGTACTCATGTTGCTATTGTTGTGGGATTCTTGCGAAAGAACTGGAGACTTGCTGGGGTCTTCTGTGGACATTGGCAAAGGCTCTGTCGTTTCGGTATGGTTGGTAGTGATATTGGCCTGGCTGTTGTTGTTGGTGGTATCCCTGTTGCTGTTGTCTTCTTCCTTGTCGGGTAGGCACATTACGAATAACTGAAGGGAATTCTGTTCTTGGAAGGTCAATGGAACTTGCTTGAGCGGTTTTATGCTGTGCAAGATGAAGCGATGAAGCTATCTATCTATCTATCTATCTGTATTGTGCAAAAGCTGGGATAACAATGAATGAATAAGATGGAGTCTGCTTGCTGATTGAATCGTCACATTCATTGGACATCAAGTGATGTGGATGTGAGGTGTAGCTAGCCGCTAAAATGTAACGACCACATCAACAGGAACAACGACAGCAATGGGCGAAGAAATGATGGATGCGATTCGCGGTGGTTGCAACTTTCCTTTCTTGGCCACGTCACTCAGGCGGGGTCCTAACCAGCTATTTAAGCCTCTTTATTCCTCCCTTCGTTCGTGAAATCTATTTAACTGTTAAAATCGGCTTGCTTTCCATCCATTTCCACGAAAGCTGCGGTACGGCGAACCATTGATTTCACATTATCAATTCGCCGTACCGCAGCTTTCGTGGAAATGGATTTGGCTTAGAGCCAGCCAGCTTCCGAAAACGTCAGTCCCAACGAATCCCCAACTCTAACGAAAATGGCCAACCCACCAGATTCTGCCAAAACGCAATCACCGTACGTCAGGAAAACTCGTGAAAATCGCATATGATTGTTCTTTGATAGAATCTCGTGGGTTGCCATAGCTATCCTCGTGCATGTGGATCCACAGGCAATCATCATGTGCATCCATTTGTGGCTCCTCTTTCACCACAATTTCCCTTTTTTTGAGTTCTTCCTATCCCCGTAACCGAATCGAATTGCACTCCAACCGTTGCCGTTGTCGTTGTCGTTGTCGTTGTCATGGCTTTAGATGATAGCGATGGTTCTAGCCAAGATATAGAACGGCAAATGCGGGAGTCTGATGAGCGGTACAAGAGGAAGAGAGACGAAGAGGAAGCCGAAGTATTGGCTGCCGAAGTAGTGGATGCAGCCCCAGTCATTCCAGTCGTAGCAGTCGCAGCAGCAGCCTCAATTCCCGCAGCGAATTTCCTTGTCGGTGGGCGTCCACGTCTTAGCTTGTGGGATCTACAACAAAAGCGCCAGCTGCAGACGCAGCAACTCCACCAACAGCGAGCCCTCGCAGTGCCGCTACCACCACTGCCATATTACGAAGATCGATTGCCCAAGACATGTACATGGGACAACTCAAAGCGCAAGAGTCACGGGAGCGGCCGCCACGGTATCGTGCTAGCTCCCCTTCGCCTGCTAGGTCTGCATCCCCGTCAGAGCGAAAGGTCATGAGGGAAGCGGCAAAGGCCGGACAAAAGAAGAAGAAAGAGGACGAGAAAATAGCGAAGAAGGTGGCCGATGCTAAGCAGGCAGAGCGCATCAAAGTTGTGATCAGCAAGTACGACCCCTTGAAAAAGCAAATTGTCTGCGGTGAAGAAGAGAATCCGAAAGATAAGGAGATGTACCGTGTGGCCAAGACGTTGATCTACGACAAAGGAGAACCAAACGAAATGACATTTGATCTGTCAAAATTCAGTAGTGTACAGATCCGTGAACTCACTCTGAAGTGTCAAGTCAAGGGAGGAGGCAGCATGACAATGTGCGATGCTAGGAAGGAGATTGCCCGCAGTATTGAGATGGGAACCATGTACAACGACACGACAGTTTCAAACCTTGCGTTGGATCCCTTAGCCAAGAGGATCAACACTCTCGTCAAAGTCCTCAATATCTGCTTCCATCCTACTATTTACCCTCACTTCGTCTCCCTCAACGACAGCAATAATCGAAAGGACTTCGAACGAGAGCCACTTTCACAGGAGGGTGTGACCGGAAATCCGTTCAAGGACTTTTGGCTTCTCGTTTCAGAGCACATGAATGAGACGAATGAGACGTTTGAGGAACGGTTATTTGACGACGTCTTGGGTCTCCAGGAGGGGGAAGACGAACATCTACTTGCGTACAGTGCCGAATTCGGTTTCAACTTGAATGACATTAACCGTGACCAGAACAACAAGTCAGTTCAGCGGCTGATGAGCGATTTGATGAAGTCCAAAGATAATTGTCTTGCACAAATGAAGATATCGGGCCATCATAGCAATGACATATGGACTTATTGCATAGTGAAGAGGTGGTGTACTCCTCGGAAGGGAATGGCGGCCGTACCTGCCATAGCGGTGTACTATTGTGCCTATCTCTGCAAACTCCATCCCACAATTGAAGGCAAATTTGCCACGTTTCTGGAAGCCAGTTTGAAGAGTGATTCCACCGTCGATATGACAGGAAGCGCTGATGCTGCCGGTAAAGGCGGCAAACAAGCTGCGGCAGACGTCATGGCATCGATCACCAGCGTCAGTTCTGACCTGAAAGAATCTATTGTCCAAAGGAAAGAGATTACGGAGGATGCCGCGGATAAGAATCTCTGGGATGGCTATCTGGTGGTTGGCAAACAGTACCTGAAAATCAGGGCGGAAATAGACAGCGGTGACTCCTCCAGCGCTCCCCTTGCGAGAGTCATGGAAATTCGACTTGGTCGACTCGAAAAGAAGTTGAACATTCCGGCTGAATCTTCCCTCATTGTCGCAACGGAATATTAATATATAGGAACGGAATAATATATAGGTGTGATTACTGTGTTACGATTCTTCTTCCCTTCTACGTTTTTTGTTGCGCGACGGTCTTTTCAGCTGTAGGCGCTTGACTCTGTTGGCCATGAATTCCCGTAGGTACGAATCCCTCACAGCTCGAATAAACATTGTCAAGTCGTACAGGATCACCATTCACATCATGGGGAACGCTGGGAATGTAGCCAGTGCCGTTCACATTGGTGGCAGGCTCTGTCATTGGGCCCGCCGTTTCGAGTCGCTCATTAATACAAAAGTTGTGTAGGCGAGCTATAGCCTGCGCCAGCCATATCATGTTCTTCAATGAACAGCCAACAGGACGCGATAGTAACCCCATTTCATCTGCATAATGCCGAAGGCCATCTCCACCCTTATGCGGCACTGGCTGGCGTAAAAGTTGAAATTGTCGTAGAGTGGGATCAGTTTGTCGGAACCCTGGTACACCGGTACCATGTGCTCCGTAGGGATGTATGCCGCATCGCCAATTACGCAAACACCAGTTGGAAGCGACTCCACCAAATTTTGTAAAGCACATTGCCGCATAGCATTACGGTCATCCGAACCCCCGGGAGCGGCATAGGCAAAGAAGATGAACCGAGAATGGTGGTCCGCTACGGCCTGGATGTTTACTCCATAGCACTGATAGTGACCTGAGAAGAAGCTTCGGATGTTGCCAGTTTCCTTCTTGGTTGGTACCCTGATACGCATAAGATAGCCATCGACGACACCAACACAGTTATGTATGGCAGCACCTCCGATATCCCGGCAAAGCCGTCCATTGCAGTCTTTATTTCTGTTGAGTACGTGGGGAATCGAATCTTCAACTGCGGACACTTGCACAATGCCGTTATTGTCTTCCATAGTACTCGATAGAACGAGCTACGGGAAATTCCAGCAATGTCTGTAATATCCAGGTAGGAGCCGCCGGCCAATATCGAATCGTACAGTAGAGACACAGTTCCGGTATGATGGATCCACCCCTTCGCGTGGCTTGAGTCTCGTTAACAAGCAGGTCGTCGACTACAAACGAAAGCAGCTTATCAAAGCTTTCTCTGCGCATCCGAAGTCGTCTAGTCAAAGGTCCCACGGTTCTGGTGTTTCTGGCAATACCGATCCACAATGCAACCGTTGTTCAAAAATGGACAGGATTCTGGGTTCGCCTGGTAGACACAGTAGAAGACAACCATAAAATAGATAGTTGCAGAAGCAACGCCACATCTTGTTCGTATTCTCATCATTGAAGTCCATTATGGGCCAGAGTAATACACGGAACAACGACTCAGTCCGTGCACTACGCATACCGCACGGGATGGTAGAGTTACTGTGTTCTCACTTTGTACATACTGATGATGACAGCTCAGCATCTCCGAGATCTCTGCACTTTTCGATTTTCTTGATTTTCGTTTAGCAGTTGGGGATTCTCGAGTTGTTCGTGCATTCGTCGTTGCGTGCGTGCGACACCACTGTATGTGGATAGGAATAAAATCTTGGATTCGTACAACCTAAATAATCGACGGAAAATAAATGTGTTCGCGAATGCACGGAGGACACACATGGAGAATGGATAGGACCTCGCCTCTCACGAGTTTCATGGTTCGTGCTTTCTTAATTTTTTAAAAACATTTAGACTATTTGTAGAGATTCGATTCGAATTTCATTCGAAGATGGTCCAATCGATTGTGGCCACCTGTCGTTGCCTCTTGCTCTCTTCCTGCATTTCTCTCGCGACCATTCAAAACAAAGATCCACATCATTTGCTATGCATGCCAGCTAAAATAATGGTGATGGAAGAGAGCAATCCTTATGAACGGATTGAAGTCCGCGACGATGGATTCCTCTGGCTGGTGAATTACACAGAAGAAGATGGCGGGGAAGAAGAACATCAGCAACCATTGGTCCTTCATGCGGTTGCCAGCTTGCTTCGACAGTTGAAAGAACCGTGGCATGACAGCGTTCAGTTCACCACCACGGATCCCGAAGCAGAAGAAGAAGAAGAGGAAGAAGAGAATCCTCCAGAAGAAGAAGAAGAAGAATTGGATGACGAAGAAAAGGAAAAAGGAGCAAACGAGGAGGAACCAAAAGAAAAAGACACTGCCGATGATGACAAGGATGATGACGGCGAGAATGATGATGAGTGGGCACACTTGGAACGCACACTCAATTTGCGAGACCGGATCATGAGGGCTCTAGAACATGTCCGGTTGTACAAACATGACAACAGAAAAGGCAAGAAAAGCAACGGATTGGCCAGAATTGAATCCAAAGTCATTGCCTTGCATCATCAACGGGAGAGGCTCATGCAGCAAAAACAACAGCAACAGCAGCAGCAAGATAGGGACAAAGCAACAAATGATGCTGACAAAAAGTTGGAAACGACTGATGCTGACAAGACCACACAAGGAGAAACAGAAGCTGGTTTTCAAGTGGTTCCTGGAAAATCAGGCATTAAGAAAGACAATAATCAGCAAGACGATGATGCTTCCGAGTCCAGTGCTTCGCAAGCGTCTCTTCACCCACATGTCAGAACAGTCAGAACTATCAATTCCATAAGAGCATTGGTTCCTGTTCTATTACGAATCATTTCTCATCCACAAAGAAACAATAAAGAAATCAAGGTGGGACCCAAAAAGCTCAAACTGACGGCCGCAGGGAAAGGTGGGAAATGGTTCGTACTGGGGGGGCACGTCTTTGACACTGCAACCAAAAAGAATTGGAATTCCATGCATTCACAGCTACAAGAGCTGATGCAGCTCTTTCTACCAACTCGTGTTGCCACCGAAATGTTCAGCAATCCGCTGGATGACAATTATTGGGACCAAAACTTTTGGAACAAGGAATGGCTTGCTCATGCATGGGTTGTCTCGTCGCAAGAGACGACGACGACGCCCTCTCCCATTGACATTATCATTGCTGCCCTTGCACAGCCCGACTCCACCATGGAATTGGACGAATCTACACGAAAACAAATTGCCAAGAGTTGCCGAGATTGCGATGATAAGTTGTGGCCTAATTTTGCCGGTGCGGCAAAGGAAGACGACGACGATCTCGCCAAACAGTACGAAAAGGCAGTAGAGAACTTACATCATCGATTGGGCTTTATCTTGGAGAGGGACTTTCCCGGTGCTCGTCTTTCCGTATATGGGAGTTGTCTCTCCAACTTGACTCTCGAGGCATCCGATGTCGATCTCAGTCTCTACTTGCCACAGGCAGCAAGAGCCAAGAAGTCGTTTCAAAACGGATTCTGGCCAGCGGAAAAATACGAAAAGGAAATGAGCAAGCTGGTGAGGGAGGTCTTTCGAAGGCTTGTACGGCGAAAGATTGAATTTCAGGAAATGGTGCCTGTCACCAGAGCTCGTGTGCCAGTCGTCAAGGGATCCTATCTCAAGGCCAACAATCCATACACTCCGCATGGGGAGCTGCAGTAAGTAGTTGCATTTCGAAAATGCTGAAACTGTTTTTCAACCGGGTTTTTTCAAAGCTTACCTTCTCCATTCGTTTTCCTTGTCGTTCTTGCAGCTTTGATATCTGCTTCTTGAATGACATTGCAGTTGCCAACTCCAACCTTCTTCGGGAGTATTCCCTAATGCATGAGTCTGTGAGACAATTGATGATTGCGGTCAAGGCGTGGGCCAAGGAGCATAATATTTGTTCGGCGCAGGACAACTGCCTTTCTTCCTACGCGTGGATGAACATGGTTGTGTTCTATCTTCAATGTATCGATTTTGTCCCCAATCTACAGTGTCAGACCTTGGCTGCTCGCGTGGGAATTCAACGAAGTACCGATAACTATTGGCACAACGTCAACGACTTGGATACATTCTATCTGACATTTGAGCAGGCAAAACTTGGTTGGAAACGCCCCGAACATTTTGACGAGTACCCCGTCAGCAATGTGGCGCTACTGTACGGATTCTTCCACTTTTACGCTTGTTCGTTTTCGCGACAATTCTCAATGGTGTCGATCAAGCGAGGCAAAGACGATATCCGCCCAAAGACATCTTTTCGAAAGTGCAGTCCGTTTTTTGTCATTGAGGATCCATTTGAAACGTTTGCTTCGCACTGTCCTCACGACCTGGGCATTCCAGTGCACGAATCACAGTGTCGTCGTATCCTTTCGATCATTGCCATGACGGAAGAGCATCTCGGAAAGATCGTGGGCAACAACGGAGGTGTTTCTGAGGGGCCTCTTTGGCCGGCTAAGGTTCCCGCGAAATCCAAGAACAAGAACGGAGAAGCTGCTGATGGAGGAGGAAGAAATAGGAAGGGCAAGGGCGGGGGTGGCGAAGGCAGACAAAAGGGAAAGCATGGCAAACAACCACCGCAGAATCAGCAAAACCAGGCCGCAGACACTGGTGGTGGAGGCAATGAACCCAAGCGAAGTCCTGATTGTACTTTGAAGATCACGAAGATCAATAGGAACGTTAAGGAGTCGGATTTGAGGGTGCTGTTTTCGCCCTTCGCATCTCAAACCAATTCGCGGGTGGTTAGCATTACTGTAACTACTCATGGTTTGGCGTACGTGGATTTTGACTCTGCGGATCCTGTCATCAAGGCTCTCGAACAACACAGCAAGGAGCCATTCTGCTTGGAGGGTCATGCTTTGAGCGTGTCACAAAAGCCAGGGAAACGGGCCAAGAAGAAGAATCAAAAGGGTAAGGGCAGTCAAAACAAACAAGGGAACTCCCACCAAGAACCCGGCCAAAGTCCTAAAGAGGTAAACGAAGGAGAGGCTGAAGGGGCGGCGTCGGAATCCCACAACTCAAATAGTCGAAGCAATCCCCGCAAGAATAGGGGTATAAGAGGAAGAGGCGGCAACAAAAACCAACGTGGCGTCGAAAAGAGCTAAAACTAACAAAATCTACCCACGGCCAAGGAGTGAAGTCGTCTGCCTCGCAGAAACTTTGTCACTTGGAACTTATGAATATTACCCAAGTTAATCAACAATAATAGAACAGAAGTTTATGAAGCCAACGCAGAATTCGTTTGCTGCCTTTCCACCCGAACAAGTTTATGTTCGTGGCCATCCTTGTCTGTTACATAGATCATCGACTTCGTTCGAAGGTGACGAACACACTTCTATGGCACATTCACTGCTGGCCTCACTGTCTTGCTCAACGAAAACCACATCAACATTTTCGGGGGTTCTTTGTGTTGGTGTTGGTGTTGTTGTTGCTTGGCTCGTCTGCGATCTGCGACGAAAGAGTGATCGCTTTCGGTTGGTTGGAGTATTTTTCTTCTTGTTGCTGGACTCAGAAAAAGTTTCTTCTTCCTGCTCGTCTTCACGATAGACGAGCACAACAGGACACCGTTCCGTTGCAGAATAGAGCAGTTCTCCGGCTCCAACCTCATCGTCATCACATTGGCCCATGAACATCATATCCTTGCAAATGCTTTGGCACGCCGCCTTTTGCATGCTGTTTTCGAGAATCATGTTATCGGTATCATCGCTCAGGGTCAACTGCAGCCCCTTTGCTTCTTCAGTGCTCAAGGTCCGAGTCTGGTCAACTAACACTTCACTCATTCTCGATGTTTCAAACTAGCAGCTAGCTGTTTATGGTGGGCTTTCCATGCCGAGCTGAGGCTACCTTGAGGTTGTCTGGTTGCTTACCATCTTTTGAGAATGATACAAAGAACCATCAACATCTGGAGCTCACACTCGAGCAACGGCTATAGTTTTTTAAATCCCGCCGAAATCTTGCCACTCGCTTTCCGTTGTCTCCCACGAAACATTGACTCCCACGCCCACACATACTTTGCTATTGTACCTACTGTGCATAGAGGCCAGAGATGAGAGCACGAGAACCAGCTACATGCACTAACTATGACTAAAATACGAGAACAAACCATGATACCTGTGCCAGAGTACCGGTACGGGTATGCTGGCCACAAATCACGCGATCACGGCACGTCGCTGGGAAGCAATCTTCTCGTGTTCCCTCGAATCGGAATCTCCTCCGTATGTTGGCGATGCAGGACTGCTGGGGGCTCTTGCAGGGACGCTATCCCACTGCTTTGCACATCGCATACAAGGCGCCTTCGATCTCCTCGATGATGCGAACTCAAGTATTGGTGGAACAGAGGACTTGCTTGTCCTCGTGAATGGCTGCTTCAAAAATGAACCTAGCTAGGTAAAGGCCTCTCGGTGGAGGAGGTTTGGCCGTGAAAAAATGCAATGCTATCATCATAACTTTAGCAGACACTGCACTTACGAAAGTAAGTATGGTAGAAAATTCTAGCTAGATTTTTTATTCGTTACTAGTACATGTAGTACAGGTAAATAAATAACTATAGGTACATACATTACTCTCAAGAGTCCTTGGCCGGACCATGAACTCGGCTCAAAAAAATCAGAGAGACCGTGTGGTGTGTGGTGTGATGTTAACACCCCAACGCTAACGACAAAAATGACGTCAGAACAACGAGTTTCCAAAGCAAACCACAAACGAGAAAGAGGACGCGACGCCTAGACTAGTAGAGCCGAAAGGGTTGACCGTACCACAGCAAATAGCTAATAGCCAGAGCAGCACAGAGAGCTACCGGTACCAGTCGTCACCGTTATCGTTGGATCCAGTATCACTGCCAAACCATGTTTAGTAGAAGTCGACAAAGTCTTCCGCTGATTTATTCAGCTGCATCCAAGCGACTGCTCAAGAGATCGCCTTGTGTTGGCTCAGCCATTGGATCCATTCGGCATCACGGTGGTCCCAGCGTCTCAACCAATGCTCCTACTGTGACAGTCCATTTTCTCCAACCCGATGGGGAAACTGTGAAGTCAGTCCCTGCTCGAGTTGGCGAATCCTTGCTTCAGACTGCCCATCGGAATGACATCGATCTGGAAGGAGCTTGTGAGGGGGTGTGCGCTTGTAGTACCTGTCACTTGATATTACCACAAGACGTGTACGACAATCAAGAAGAACCATCAGAGGACGAAGAAGATATGCTTGATATGGCCTACGGTCTGACCGATACCAGTCGGCTCGGGTGCCAGATCATGGTGTCAGAAGAAATGGACGGCATACAATTCGAGATGCCGAAAGCAGTGAGTGATTTTGATACAGCCTGTGTCTTTCGATTGGTAGACAGATACATGCTGACAACCCAATCGATCCTTTAATTTCTTCTCATTGTACCAACAGACTCGCAATTTCTATGTTGACGGTAAGTCTGGTCACATCGACCTCTGACGGAATCCTTTTATCCTTTTGACACAGCTCTTATCCACCTATTGTTTCATCAACCCCTGCAGGTCATGTACCGAAACCCCACTAATGATCATAGATCGCCTGCTTCCCTCTGTGGTCTGATTGTTGCATAGAAAGCACATAATAGCAACACATTAAAACATTGAAAATGAAATTCTTGATCCAGCTAGCCAGCAGCCGGCAATCAAACATTTTTTTTGTTTACACCTGCTTTGGTGGTGATGCTCAACACAACGCTTCCTCGGCCAATGCTCCTACGATTATCTCTCGTTCAACTTTCTAGCACGTCCTACATGTACTTTGCCCCGATCTTGAACTTTAGATGCGTGGTCCGACCATTGGATTCAACCTCTCGAGGGGTACAGCGGTACAGCCAGTGGAGTAGTGACCCATTACCTCTTTTGCTCGTCACAAATAGCCCGAACACTTCAACCGAAAAGCAACAGAGCTACGAGCATGCACGCTACCGGTACCGTACTAGCAATACATTGAGTTAGGCGATACATAATTTGGATAGTTGCAGTCATGGTATTGACTTTCCATGTGGTGGCCGAGGGAGCAAGGAACGGCTGGAAAAGTAGAGCAGCTTTCTTGTGGGATTTTGTGGCCAGTGGCTCATCTGTTTGTGTTGGTTTAGGAGGTTCCGGTTGGCCCCATATCCCCTAGCTTTCCAGGAGGTTGTCTTCATAAACTTTGGTCATGCCTGGGCTGAATCTGATCTGCAGCGGCTGCTTTACGGGTTAGCACCCGATCCGTGGTTGGCGTCTACCGGTAGCTAGCTAGTGAGCCACGGCTCTGTAAAATCACCTTCTCCTTCGAAAAATTTCTGTGGATTTGATTTGTCTCCGGTTTGCTGCATGTAGAGAGAAACATAGCAACTTCGTAGAGCGTCGGTGACGAAACTTTGCTCTCCCCTCTTGGTCGAAGCCTGAGAGGCATGCTGAAGATCGGTCGCAATCTGTGGCTGGCTACGATGTGGTGCGGCGAAAGTCGTATTCAAAATTAGTTTATATTCCGTTATTCTCTCTACGTTCAACTTTATCATTCAATATAGATGTGGTACTTATACACAACAAACAAGTTTTATTCTTCCATCGGTCCTCTCCCCTTATAGTGTGCTCGCCCTGTTGCCTTTAGGGACAACATGACATCACAACTGACTTTCACGCTTTCACATGAGACCGGGGATGTTGACCTTGGCTTCCATCACGCTGCCCATGGCATAAAAGTTTGGCTCCGACTTCATGTTCTTGGCACGCATCTTGCGGCGGTCTTCGCCTTGAGGCAAGCCAACTCGTCTCATGTGGACTGCCAGACTAGGTCGGCCCTTCAAGAACAACTCGTGGTAGTAGCCACCGGCATCGGGTCCACTGGTGATGCGGGTGAATCCGTAGAGGTTGAGCTGCCGTTGGAAGGAGCTCAGGCGAGATTGCTTGAAGTACTTGGGCATCACTTCGGAAGTGAATCGATCAGGGTCATGGACGGCGAATGCTCGACCATGAGAGAAGAAGGAGATGACATCGTCCTTGCCTTCGGCCGCGACTTCTTCGATCATTCGATGAAGCTTTTCGGGGAAGGGTTCGGTGACACCTCCACGGGTTCGCTTGTCACTGACATCAGGATCTTTCAGGCCGGACACGTCCAAATAGGGCGAGTCTTTCTTGCGGAGCGAGGTGCCCAGCACCTTGATGGCGGTCTTGGTCTCCGAGTGGGCCATAGGGGGAACAGTGGCGGATGTCAGAGAGGGAGCAGCGACAGAAGGAGCAGCGGCGGCCACCATGGAATGCCTTGGAGCTTGAGGCGGCTGCTGCTTGAACTGTTGCAGGATTCCTTGTTGAAGGAGGCCGTTGTTGGCGCTTCCATTGATGAGTCCAACCAATCCTTGGTTGGTGTTGGCAGCGGGAGGAGCGCCGTTGCCCTTGAAGAGAGCCAACAGGGACTCGTTGTACAGACGGCGGCTCTCCAACGTCTTCTCGGCGAGGGCTTGCTGTCTGGCAATGGTGACGCGTTGGTTCTGTTCCAACATGCGCTTTTCCGTGGCAGCAGCGAAAAGGAGCTCTTCAGTGCTCATTCCCAAAGCCTCACTGGGGCGAAGGGGAGCGGCGGATGTGTTGTTCGGGGCAGTAGGAGCCGGAGCATTCAGGGCCGCAAGAGCCGCAGCAGTGGCATTCGAGGCAAAGAAACTGCGTCTGGCAGGAGCGGCAGATGTGTTAGATGCATTGTTCAGAGCAGCCTGAAGAGCGCTCGAAGCAGAGGATGCAGGAGCGTTAGCCGCCGGAGCCATGAAGGAATAGCGATTGAGGTTTTGCGAGATGAGAGGATTCCAAGAAGGAGCAGATGGAGCGGCGCCACCACCCATAAGGCGGTTGCTGTCCACTGATACTTCCATCAAAACCTCTTGCAGTGACTGTTGCAAAGTCCTGCTAAGAGCACTGTTGTCAGCGGTAGGGTTGCTCATGGTCTCTTTTTTTGTTTTTTGTTTGAAAGACAAGAATGCGGGGGTTCGTTGATTGTGCTGGTGAGGGGTTCGTTCGTTCGTTCGTTTCAAGCTCAAGCGATTGTTTTTTATGACACATCAGCATTCAGCGTCCAGCTGTGTGGCAACCAGTAGATGGTTGAAAACTCCACGTAGGCCAGTACGCTGATTGTAGCGCTATCCCGGTTCGCCCGGTTCGTTGATTCCAGGCCTTCGTTGGTCGAAACAATTTACCAAAGGAAGCCTCCATCTTCTACTGGAACTGTAAAGCCACTGTTCTTTGCAAAGTGGCCGAGGAGCATTGGCTGCATAGACTTTTGTATCGAAATGCGAGCGCATCAGGTCACACTTTGCCAAAGTCAGACCCTCGACACTGACCTTTGCATCTGCCAAAAGTCTGTGACGTGCGTACTAGTGCGTATAATATCTTAAATTAAGTCGCAGCTACAGCTGTAGCACTCAACACTCAACTCACGCCACCATAGACGGACATTGGTGTAGGCTGGTTCGTTCCCGCTGAGGGTTGAGGTTGTAGCCCCTCGAATCGTATGCCTTCGTGGTTACTTCTTTACGTGCGATATTGTGCGTCTAACTTGGCAATCGTACCAGAAAGCCTCTCACGCTCGACCAGAACCTCTGCACTTGATTGGCCTAAAGGGTCGGTCCCTCTTTGTCGCTGGTGGCCAATTGCCCGAACTCCAACCTACAACCTCCGTAGCAAGAAATAAGGTGCGACCTGAGACTCAGGGTGTGGGACTCACATGAAATACACGCTGCGTGTACTCGATGTGAGTACGGTACTGAGTACTGAGTATCTCAGTACCATACTCACATGAGCTCAGAAAATGTGAGTATTACTCAGTACCCGTACTCACATGACTCCGGATTTTGAGTACTTTTTGAGTCTTCGGTGAGTACTTCGGTGAGTACTTCGAGTGAGTACCAGTGAGTACTCGGTGAGTATTAGGACCAAGGATCTCCTCAAGCTAACTGCCAGCAGATTTGAAGAGGAGGATTATGACAGTGATATTGATGCCATGGTGGACCTTTACAACAAGATTGATGAGCCCCAGCCCAGAACTAGAAAAACCTAGATAATTTCCCTAAGTAATTGATTTATGAGTACTCAGTGAGTACTCTATAGTACCCACAAAGTACCTGTACTCACATGATACCCGTACTCACTTGACCCTGGGAATTGTGAGTATTACCCAGTACCCATACTCACTTGACTTTGGAATTGTGAGTACTACTCAGTACCCATACTCACATGTTAAAACAGTGTGAGTACCACGCCCTGCTGAGACTTCCAGCAGAAGGCCCAAGGAATTCTCATTGGTCAAAACTGCCCCCCCCTTTCTTGACCATCATAAGGTGAAAAGGAGACTCACTGTATGTAAATTGACTTAGAGAATGAAAAGACTGAAACACTGGCACTGCAGGCATTCGATGACAGATTTTATTAAATATCTTCCTTGAACAACAGAAGTTAGTGCCTTCTCAAAGACCCCTCTTAAACCTTTTATGAACAATTTTACAGTCTTCCTTAGCGGACTTGGGCACTGGGATGTTGAAGCTAAGTGTTCTTTTTCCTAGCCAGATTTAACGAACTGCCCTCGCTTGCTGCCGTCATTCTGGAACTTGGTGGTCTTAGTTATTGGGCAAGAATCGTAGGTTCCTTCAACTTGCCTGGTAGCAGACTCTGAGTTTTTATTTACAGTGGAACGTTGGATGCCAACGTACTTGCACGCACGACATACGGATAGAGTACAGTAGGTATTGTACTGCACTCAGTACTCGTACTATTACTAGCTAGTACATGTACCAGCAGAGCTATGTCAGCTGCTATGTCATACCGGTGGCAGCGATTACTGGAACTTACTTCGTTTTTGCTGGGTTACTCCTGGAAAGCTGGAAAGTCGAGCACTTTGCAACCAGCTGAACTTGATGCTTTGGGTCCTGTACTACCTCTAGTACATGTTCTGGTATTTGACTGCTTATTTGACCACTGAGGTTGCTCTGACTGTTCAAGTAGTAAGTTTCTCGTTTGTTGATAAGGAGAGCTGACTGTAGGATGTAGCATAAGGAGATAGGGTTCTTGCTTGGTGGGATCAGCAGCCACTTTCCCAATCTTGCAGCTATGCATAGTCTAATAATTAATAATTAATTGATCTACTTGGAGTTAATAATTGTCACCATCAGAGAACTCCTCACAAATCTGTCCATAGTACGACTGTATGTCAGGTGTTCCAAACACAATTGCTGGAGAATGAAAAGAATCTAACTTGTTAAGTGAACATGGAATCTAAACGAACCCCCATCAGAAAAGAAGCATCGTCACCTCACTGCCGTTCCAGTGTTCCTCTTTCGATTGGATTGGATTCGTTAATGCTTCACGTGCTACCAAGTAATTCTTGTACACGAATGGGGAGCTCGTCACTCGACTGTTTTTTGTCTATGAGTGCTACCGTGAGGAGTCGAGTCAGTCGAGTGAGTGACTCAGACGAGTCGAGTGACGAGTCAGTCGAGTCGAGTCGAGTCGAGTCAGTCTGAGACTGGACTCAAACTGGACAGGCGCGCGACCGAGCATCGTGCACTTGGTGACGGCAATTCCAGCTATTAGCCAGTACGCAGGACGGCACAAAGTAAGTAATACCGTAGTTCTGGTGGAGGACGGAGAGTTGGTCCACGGACGAGGAGCTAGAGAGTGACGAGTCAAGTCGAGTCGAGTCGGTCCACCTGGAGTTGGTGTGGGAGTGAGGCTTGCTATTGTTCCTGTTGTTGGACCTGGGTAGAGAGTGCCTGGAGAGGGGCTTGGTAATTATCATTTGGACGGTCCAGGGGTATGGCCTGGAGTTGCTGGAGTTTGTCTGGGAATGAGTCTTGCAATTGGACCGGGTGTTGGGCTTGCTATTGGATCTGGTGTGGACCTGGAACAGTTCCTGAAGAAGGTTGTAGGTTTGGGTCAAGTTTAGGTCATGATTTGGTATCTAGATGGGTAGAGTTGGTCCGCAGGTACCTGTATCCGACGCGCTTGGAGTGGTGCCTTCAGTTGATCTGGGAATAGGGCTTGTTATGGACCTTGTATCATGGGCCAGCTTTTGAACCTGCGGGCCCGGTGTAGTCACACTCGGGCGTACTGCATGCAGTAACCATCTGAAAACTCGTGCTTCCATTATAGCTCTAGCTGCAGTAGGGACCTTAGCAAGGGAGGCTGCGTTTGTACTGCATTTGGGCAATAAGTACTTTACGTGCGCTACATGTCAAACTTTTCTTTTATGCATTATTTGAAAACGACGATGAACTAAACAATTTGAATATGTAGGTTTTTTGCGGAGTCTATTCATCAGTGCACTTCACTCTCCATCATTCATTTGCTGGTCACAACATCGTTAGAGAATCTCATCAGTCTTATCTTTGGCCTTGGGAGTCTTTGTGGGGGCAAGATTCAAGTGCACCAACAAGTCGGTGAATTCCTCAATGTCAATGACACCATCGCTGTTCTTGTCAAACTTCACGAACATCTCATTGACCGACTCGAGATCCACATCGTAGTTTCTGCGGAATTGACGGCTGGGTTCGTGGAGAGTTGGTGGTGGTGATTCCTCAGTTTGCTGCGCCAAGTATCGGTTGAGCCTCCAGGCAACCTTGTCAATGAAGTCTTCGGTGGTGAAACCACTGGGACCGCTCATGTCACGGGTTCCCTGCTTATAGCGGAAGGTATTGTGCATGGCAGATCGAAGCGTGGTGCAATAGTTGAAGATCTTTGCCTTGACTGCTTGCTTGTCAGCGTCCTCTGGGTTCTTTTCCGCATCGAGAGTTGCTGCGTGTTCCATGGCACCAATCATGGCTTCCGCCATACCCAAAGGATTCAAAGACGTTTCCTTTCCAGCCAAGTGTTCATGCCAAAGATCCGAAACGGTTCCGTGAGATGCCTCAAATTCCTTGATCAGGCTGCCGTCGTCATTCTTGCCCACCAAGTTTGACGTGATGAAACCAGGGGAACGATGCACTTGCGCAATTTGATCGGTCAGCATGTCCCCATCGTAGTTGTGTGCAGCCATACCAAAGCCTCCGCCAGTCCATCGAATCAACTTCATTGTGGCAGCGTCAGAAATCAAGTGCTGGAGCTCTCCTCCACATTCCTCCATGAGGCCAGCCTGAAAGAAAAATGGGGGATATCATCATTAGCTTTTGCCTGCGTGAAAATACAAGCCACCTCTAACAAAGTTGATTCTTACCTTGACGAAATCTTCCTTGTAGTGTTCATCAAAGACCTTCTTCATGTTGGCCCAGAATGGCTCTTGCCACTTGAAGACAGTCTTTTTGGTGACAATGTAGGGTGTGATGTCGGCCTCCAGACATCTCTTGAAAAACAAGTGAGCAAGGGGTTCAATGTTGTCATAGGGGTTGTGGTAGACCACGACAGCATTTTGCTCATCGGTCAAATCACGCTTGTCAACCACAAAAGGTGGACTGCCGTCTTGTGGCAAGTAGGTTGTCAAAAGGGTTCCTTGCCCCACTTCATTCCAACCAGCACCATATTCTCCGCCCACAGCATGACGCTCAAAAAAGACTGGGCGTTTGTATCCTGTATGTGGTGGGTGAGATATTAAATAGGATATGAGAAAAATGAAAATATCCAATGACAACAACAAAAATGTCACAATAGAAATAAAGAGGACTCACCAAGTTCAATTCCTTCAATGTGAATAGTATCACGGCTGATTGTGATGCCATTCCATCCCCTCCTCATGGCTCCATTAGGAGATCCAAATGGCTTGGACAATCCCATTTCCTTGACTTGAACAGCCGTGGGAGTAATGGTAGGTTCTTTGAAAATGGCCCCAATTCGCTTTCCCGCATCGACAGCATCTTTGAGAACTTGGTCATCAGATTCATCACGGGCCTTGCAACTCAGGTCATACTCTTCCCAATTAGTGGTGTCAAAATAGGGTTTGATCCATTTTTCCACAATCAGGTTGCTGGCATAATGCGTCATTTCTTCGCCCGCAATGTAAACCATGGGAGGAGCCACCACTTTGGGGCCTGTAAGGGACAAGGAATCATCCACACTGGTGCTATTCCATCGGATCAGGGAACCACAAGGAGCTTGAATTTTTGCTGCCACAGTATGCGATGGAATACTGGTCGTAGTTACTCGTCCTCCCAAATAGACTCGGCTGGAGCCCAGGGCTCTTCGAGAAAATTGCGTCAAGGCTAATCGAGATGCCATATTTTTTTGCTCTGCTACCACTTGGAGTTGTCTTCGAATTTGAAAAAGTAAGAAGATATCAAACAAAGCAAACTCTGGCTGGTAGAGCAAAGTGAAGATTGATGCAAATACCACAGCCGCAGGAAGTTCCAAAGTTCTGTGCGAAGGCTCCGAATGAAAATTGAGAGCGAGAATCTTTTTTCTTTGGACATCAGCCACACTGAATCATAGCTCTGCCGGCTAAGATGGTTTCGCTCGGTCGCCTTTGTATTTTCTTCTTGGGCGCGTCATCATCCAAAGGGAGACCTGGTACCAGGTACCTGCTACAAGTACGGTAATAATGAGATAATGGACCTACCGTACTAGCTAGTACCGCCGAACGGTAGCTCGTTTCTCTCCAGACCAAGCAGCTGTGCGCTTATCTTCGTCCATTCCGGTATCCCACCCCTTCTTTCCTCGGTTGCTTAGTATGAGCATATGAGTGGGCTTAAAAGTCAGTCTGGAACACATATCTGCATCGCTCTGAGCCAGTCCCCAGCCATACGGTGCTCCCGAAAAAAGTACTAGTAGAGTTTATTTCACCGGCAAGCATGATTTTCCCTCTTGCTAAACTTATTATTTTCAAGCTGAAAGAGAATTGTTTGAATGTCTTTGAAATTGTTGGCTCAGGCCACAGCTGCCTGCTTCCAATCACCGGCCGCTAGCTAGCTATACCGGTACCATAGATGCGGCAGATCCATCTCCAAGTCTTAGTTAGATAGGGTACTGTACCTAGCTAGGATGCTGGTACTTCTCTCCTAATTCAGCAGCCCCCAAACTCCAAAGGGCTCCAAAATTCCAGCCGAGGCCACAATATCTTCTTCAACTGACTCGACTCCCACACTCCCACGGTTTCTTGTCTGGCCTTCATCCGGTTTTGTACCGGCACTTACGTCCACACGTTTATCTTTCGCTCAAGATACCTTCCGCGCATCCTGCAAGACCACAATTTCAAAAAGTAAGAGGCCCATCACTGACTTTGTGCAAGAAAGATAGATCTAGAGATAGAAGGCAACCTCTCTCTGTTTGGCCACGTTGTTGTCAACCTGCGAAACGCAACCGCACTCATCTCATTCTACAGTATCAAGGGTATATGCACCAGACGAAAATGCAACGATCTGTCTTTCGATTAACCCGCCGAGTGGCTACCCACCGAGCCTTGGGGGCAGGCGGAAGGCAATGGCCAAGGACGACATCGCTCCAGAGTACGTCTACTAGTACTATTGGTCCGCTGGTGTGGAATCAGACGCCTTCTCGAAGCAAGAGTACTGCGGCGTCTGCAACCTATGATCAGTCCGTCGACTCCTTCCCTTCCATTGTGATTGGTCCCAATGGCTCCATCATTCCCCAAGGCTCCTTTGCGGAGGCTCAAGCGGAGGTATGTGTCGATTGGATTCTTTGGCAACACTGCTGGTCCAGTACATGTACTCATTTTTCCCTGTCTTTTCTCTGTTGCTCACTCCATTATCATCCATTATCTAATAATAGTACCTGGACCCGGATCCAGAAGCTGTTGCCTCTTTGAGTGAATCATTGCTCAAAACGAACATGGGTATCGTAGCTCATTACTACATGGACGTCGAACTGCAGGGTGTCTTGCAAGCCGTCAAAAACTCCGCCAATGGACAGTTGCTAAATCGTGTTGGAATTGCCGACTCTCTGAAAATGGGAGACTTGGCGGTAGAAATGTGTATCAACGATGGCGTAGAAGCCATTGCTTGCCTGGGAGTCGATTTTATGGCCGAGAGTTGTTCCGCCATTCTGGAAAAGAACGGGTTTGGTCATATCCCCGTCTACAGAGCCACCTCCAAAGCTATTGGATGCAGTTTGGCAGAATCGGCTGAACGAGAATCTTACCGAGCATGGTTGCAAAGTGCTCCCGAAAAGTCGCTCCATGTGGTCTACATCAACACCAGCTTGGAAACCAAAGCTGTCAGTTCTTCATTGGTACCAACCATTACCTGTACATCTAGCAATGTACTGCAGACTATTTTGCAAGCCTCCGCACAAATGGGAGATGAGCTGACAATTCTATATGGACCTGACACGTACATGGGAGATAATTTGGTCACGCTGTTAGATGCCATTGTGGCAGATCCATCATGGGACGATGCTCGCGTTCAAAAGGATCTGCATCCGGAACATACCAAAGTCAGCTTGCAAAAACTCCGAGATAGCATTGATGTGTATCCAAGTGGGAATTGCGTTGTACATCACATGTTTGGCGGCCAGGTGGTGGACACCGTGAAGAGAGATTACGACGATTGCTACGTCACTGCACATTTGGAAGTACCCGGGGAAATGTTCGAGATTGCCATGCAAAAGAGCCTACATGGAGGCGGTGTGGTAGGATCCACTTCTGACATTTTGCGGTTCATTACAGAAAAAGTTCAAGAACGAGCATCATCGTCATCGCAATCCGCAGCAGACAATCGACTAAGATTTATTCTGGGAACCGAAGCAGGCATGGTGACCTCCATTGTCAAGAACGTGCAAGAAATCTTGCGTACGACAGGAAGTCAATCCGTAGAGGCGGAGATCGTCTTTCCTGTCAGCCAAGAGGCCGTCATGGAAGGTGGGGATGAGAGCATGCCACTAGTACCTGGCGTGGCTGGAGGAGAGGGTTGCTCCACTGCCGGTGGATGTGCCACGTGTCCGTTTATGAAAATGAACGATTTGGATGCGATACAAGATATCCTGGATCGAAAGGAGAGAGCACAGAATGGTTCTGAACAGGATGAAGCCCAATTGATAACGCAACTCCCACCGCAGCGATTGAAGGGGAAGATGTTGAACGGTGTAAAAGCCTCAGACATGGGTTCAGAGCCAATTCTGTACATGAGAGAAATGATGGCTACAAAGAAAATTCCGCATGAATTGGTACAAAAGGTGTTTGATCGAAAGCGATAGCTGCTGCCAAGCTTCAGCACGTCGCAGGTTGGCCCTGGGTGGTGCAAAAGCAAAAGAGAGCTAGCTGAACCACCAAACAGCAACACAGTCCCCAGGTCCACTCTTTGAGCTATTCACACGATGGCAAATGCATTGCATGTAAACTACTAGTGCTGAGTACAAGCATCAGAAAGTGTTCTCTGTTCGCTGCATGCAGACCGAAAATGACATTCTTGCACCTACGGCGGGAAAAAGTTGCTACAAACGACAAGCTGCTAGTAACATGTAGCTCAATACGATACATTAGAAAACTCAGTCGCTGAGATTAACTTTACTAGCTTCCAGCACTTTGAACGGGTATCGACAGGTGCGTCATTCATCTATCATGTTCTCCGTCTAGTTTTCAGCATCCATTTGCCCACCTGTTTCAAAGAGCGCCGTGTGGGCTTGGCAGCATTCATGGAGGTCGAGGTACCTTCAGAAATGGCGGCTCTGGTGTCATCCCCTTGATCCTTGGGAGCCGACGGGCTCAAGTTGTTCGAAGAATACACTTGGTTGCCATTGATTCGAGCCTTGAGCTCTTCTTCCAAACCACTTACCATGACGCTGAGTACATCATCGACATTGTAAGCACCTCCAGCTGGGCGCCACAGCTCACCAACAACCTGCGTATATACCAAAAACAAGAGATGTTGAGTATTATGTTCTTCGCACTCAGAACTGGATAGAAGGTATAGCAGACTCTGGTCAGTGGACTTACCCTCAGAGTCAAAATGATGCCTGCCGTCATGACTCCAAACAGGCACCCTTCAACAGTCAAAATCTTGTATCCTCCAATGACCTGCGTTCCTGCTCCAAGCAATGGGAAACTCACTAGTTCAATTGCTGCCAAAATCCATAGGAGCACCATGTGGGCACCTGGCAACTTTCTTTGCAAAGCTCCAAGGCGACTAGCGCGCGCCTGACGAAGGCTTCTCACTGTTTCATAGACACTGCTGGGCACGCCTACACTAGTCAGGTACATGATTGATTCGAGAGGATCATCCACGGGTCTAGAGCTTAGCAGGACTGCTGGATCGGATGTCAGAGCCTTCAAATCATAGCGGACATACTGAGAGATTGATTCCAACACCCTTCGATACATACTTCGGCCTTGACACACCAGTGCCACTTGTTCCAGCAAGGACTTTGCTTCTGTGACTTCATTGAACAGGGCATAGTAGACCATTTCCTGCTGTTGGTACATGAAATAGTACCTGCCAAAGAAAGCGAAAAAATGTGAGATTTTTCTCCAGCTTTCCATCAAATTGTAGTAGTATACCAGAGTGGATAGGTTTTGCTGATCCCACTACTTACGTTTGGCCAACAAGGATTGAAAACAAAAGGCCACTGACTGTCAAAAAGTTTTGCACAAATTGACTAGAGTCTTGTGACAGAACTGTGAACACCCCAGCATCATTCATAATGGAAGCCAAGAAAAGTGACATAGCTGGAAAGACCAGCGTAGCAAAGATACCTCCCAAAACTGAGGGGATCCCAACTCGTATAAGAGTGATCACATTGAATAAACCTGTTTGGTCGGAGACGGGGCCTGCATCCTTGTATCGTTTGGAAATATTGACGGCAGCTGATTGGGAAAACGATGCTGCCAGTCTCTCCAGTTTGGATGGAGAACCAGACCCATCCCCACCCGGTGACGAAGTGCTTGTCAATCGAGAGGATGGAATCGGTTTTGATACTCTCGTGGATATCAGATTGTTGGCATGCCGAGGAGTCAGCATAAATGCACTGCTGAAGGCTGATGAGAATGCCAAGAAGGCGACGGCTTTGCAGAATGATCGCATCTTGAGAAACGAGGAGAAACGAGGAGAAACCAACAGGAAAGCACTTGTATCTCGCTTATTCTTTATCGTCGCTTGATTGTGTAAAAGATACGGTGCCCGCAATGCCGATGCGATCTGCCCGACACCCACATCATGGTCGCATGGTCGCTTTTGGCCGTCACTTACGTCATACCGAAGCCATCAATTTAGAGCTGGAGCTTTGAGAATATTTAGCCAGCCAAGCTGTAAAAAAAGAGTGGGGGAGAACATGTCACTCGGGGCCACTGCAGTTGCCAGGTACTAGTACCACCCAGATATTGTGCCTATTTTCCTGAAGACTTTGCTTCTGGCTACCGGTACCGGAGCTAGATGATAGTTAGACTGGAAAAAGTCAGACGAGGAAGGCATTATCTGATAAAACATTCATTATGCAAGTTGGTTACTGCACTTTTAGTTAAAGAGCGTATGGTTGCTTGGTTGGAACGTCTCGCTTCAGCTCCCTCTGAAGACCCCAGCAAGCAAAGAACCACCCCGTCTACCAGGGTTCCATGCTGATACATACCGGTATGTCGTAGAGTTGATGGAAACAATTCCACCATTCCATCGGTGACGGGGACGCCATTGGTAACCCACACGGGCAAGAGTTTCCCAAACTCGGCCATTTCGTCTGTCAAGATGCATGCATACCGCAGCAACTATTAATAGCTTAACCGGGGACGTTTGCGTCTATCATCTGAAGAAGGGGGGCAGATCCGGTTCCGGCTATCGCCACCATTGTAGCTGCTGTCTTGAAGGGGGGTATTGGGAACGCTGGCAAACTTTTGTCCTTGTGGCGATATCGATGGGTTTGTGGCAATGATGTTGCTTGGGTACAAACTCGGCTTGAGGCAGAGTGGCGATGCAGGCATTGCAGTTGGAACATCTGATGGCCATGGAGTTGGTATTGCTGCGGGGGAAATTCGGAGCGTTGGCGCATCAGAAGGCACACCCACGGGACACCAATTGGGGTCAAGCTTGTTGTTGTGGTTTCGTCCCCAGCCAGGGACGCCGCCCTGGACTGATGGACCTCGTCCAGTATTTGAAGGCATCATCTTGCACCTACTGTATGATAGCTGGCTAGGCGAAGCAATCTACTTGGCCGGAAATGGAGCAGAGTTTGATGCTGATCAGGTATGGTAAAATAAACCCAACCTTTTGCTGCCACCGGTTCCTTCGAAAAGACTTGTATCTTTAATTTGCCTTCCTCTCAGGTCACAATGCAAAGCAGATCCAAATGCAAACGGATTTGTTCGGATGGCGTATCTTTTCAGACAAGGCTCCAGAGCTATCCAAAGATACCAATGACCCACCACGCCGAGAGATGTGATGAAGGTCAATGAATAGAATGTTGGATGAACGAACTAGACTACTACCCGGCACCAGTGATATGAGAAGGAAAAAGACCCCTGACACTGAAATCACGTGGGAGAAAAAAATCCAGAAGCAGAACAAAAATACCAAGTGACGCATGAATTGAGCCCTTTTAATTCAGCAACCAATGAGACAGGCGCTCGGCACCCAAAGATTAGAAAGATTGTCCTTGGTGAATAGCGCATTGAGTTCGGTCAGCCGGGAGCCACGGCCACCAGCCACCAGAATGTTCTATCCTGCACGAGTTCCACGATTGAGCATCCAAGCAAGGATCCGTGCTGGATCTTTTCCTACAGGCCAACAAACAGGCGACAGTACCAATGATTTGCTTCACGAAGGCAAGAGAAGGAAGCTCTGCTAGCTTTGGTGGCTAGCTAGCTAGCTTCTAGCTAGGTTCCAATCAAACTCGAGAGAAAAGCTTTTTGCCCTACAAAGCTTTCTCATACCTGGGACTGCCACCCACAGTAAGTAGTACCGGTAGCTGGCTACTACATGTAGCTACCTGGTAGTATGAACGTAGGAAAAGGAGCCACAAATCAAGCGAGCGAAGTTCTCCCGTGCGTGCAGCATTTGCAGTATTAATAGTCTAGCTAGCTAGGCGAGACTTGAAATACTATGAATGACGACGTCAGCCCAGACGCCAAGACTTTGATCAACCCATTCATCAAATTTGTATGCGACCCCATGGCAACACTGCTCCCGCCCACATAATATCATCTAGATCTAGCTACTACTAGTACTCTACTAGAGGCAAAATAACCCAAAACACAGGCGAACCCTCTGTGGCTGGTGGTGCGCTTAGGTTGTTTGACTGTCACCTTTTTCTTCCCTCTCCTGAGAGACTTGACCTCAGTGCCTGAGCAATTGCTGTTTTCTAGTGTGACTCCTCAACAATCTGGTGGATGCATCAGTTCAGCTTTGCTGCTTCTTGGTGATGTCGATCTATTGGGGGCTATTTTTCTATGCTAATTCTTGGAATCGACTGGAGGAAGATCAGGCGATGCTGAGTAGCTATCTACAACGAATCCAACACGTCCAGGCAGACGGAAACCTGGGGTGCAATACCAACGCATTCCTCCCTCGATGGCTTACTACAACTTGTCCCCAGCACAAGCAGTCTCATTTGACTACAATGTCTTCCAAGTGCCTACAACATTGGGACGGACGCAATGTTCGCCTTCTGATGCTGGATAGGAGAGACTGGAAGGAGGCTGCGGCTATTGAATTATTCCGCTGCAGGGTTGGAAAACTGCTGCTCCTTCCATTCTGTCGTGGATACCAAACAAGGAGGAACGGTATCTTTGGAGTTGGATAGAGACGAGAGTGGGAATGCTTTCATTTGGAACGGATGGTTCGGCATTGTGGGCAAACGGTCAGCTTGACAAGGAAATCATCAAAGGATTCAAGCTTGAGTTCGAAATTGAATATCAAGGGGACTTAGGATCTTTGGTTTCGGGCTCCATCACGTTGAGCAACCTCAGCGAGTACAAAGGTGGACCTTCAAACTCCGATGGTGCACCATCCAGCTGATCTGCGCTTTCGAGACTACGTTATCACTTTCAGGCGGATCGAGTGTACAAGTCATGGGAACAAATGTTGCAAGTTTTGCCAAGGTGATCTTGCCTGCTTTTACGGCGTGTCCCATGGCCGCGAGTGCTACCTTAAGAACGGTACCAGTACCATCGAACCGGGCGATCGAATTGAAGAATGACAAGCTGATCCTGCCCAACAGTTCAGCCTTTTTCAAAGAGACCCAAGAAACCGCTGGTGATGACTGGCAAAGATGCGACTGTGACGAAAAAGACCGACCGATTGGTTGATTGCAGAGGTCGCGACCACCTTATCTTCAGCCCACCGTCTTCAAAGAAACCTGGTATCCTGCCAGCCAGCCACATTGGATCTTCGGAGCAATCCTCGCTCCTCGCCTTCTGGTCCTGTTAACGAACGCTCTGAAGCAGCTTCCCGAGCTGCGGAAACTTTGCTGCCAGGCTACACGACATACACTAGCTACCTCCTGGCACTGATTTGGTGGTGTCACTGCAATAGTACAGTATGATCAAGACTCTATCCCATGGAAGTATGAGAAATGCTGGCTACTTACTCTGCACCTTTCAAATCTAGTAGCTACAGGTCGTACCAAGTACATGCATCAAAGACCGAGGCCCTCGAGATTGGCTGTGGTCGAAGAAGGCTTCCCGGGAGAGGCCGCCAAACAAGGTGTCCACCTAGCTAGTACGGTAGCGAGAAACTCGGGCCTCGCTCTCAATATCACGTTAGCAGGCCTCGTGCGATTATCGACTGGCTGAGGTCAAGATTGTTGTTCAAGGCATCCTCGGACAGAGGAAATCCAGGACGTTGGCTCCATCTAGCTATCATCTATCTTCGTGCCCCCTGAATGTACCGTAGCTCTATACTCTATAGCTTGGTTTGCTTTGGGAGTTTTCGTTCTGTAGCTGGCATGGTCAAGACACAGGCTTGTTGGCACACCGGTACGGTCTTGAGGTCTTGATGCCGATACATCCATTCTTGGTTGCTGCCTGGTTGGATTGATCGTTCAATCAACTACCATCCACTAGGCTATCTCATCATATGGTGGAATTCAATCGGAGGGGGGAAAGTCTCTCGGTTGCTTTCCAAAGCCAGCTGGAGCCTTGACTGCAAATCCTAAACCTTCCAGCTCCTCCTGATCGTGAAGATGTGGACTGTTGTGGCATACAGTTTCGCTGGAGGCGACTGTTATGAAACCTGTTTTTCTGTTTTCTTGCTCTGTTGAAGGGTACGGTAGCTGCTCTGGTCCAGTCAGCGTACAATGTCATGATACCGGTACCACCATAATAGCTAATAGTACGACTGTGTCGCCGTCATTTATTTTCGTAGCTGAGATGCTGAGATTTAAACAACGATTTCCCTTCTTTGTTGCTTCTTCTATGTCTCTTTGACTAGCGGGTCAATATGGTACATAACAATCTCCTGGAGAAGAGTTCAATGGAACATTCGTACGGGTTACAAATGTGTAAGCTGTTTGACTAGTGACATCAAGAATGACTTTTAACAAAGTGTACTATTCATTGTTGTGTACAGTGTCCACACTTGGGTCATGAGGAACACATGGTGTGTGACAGAGGGGGTGTTCATTAAGCCTAATTCGAAGTCTGGCTTGATACTCTCACAAAATTCACGATCACACAATTACTAAAATTCCGCAAGACTTCCTCGGTGTTAAGTGAAACAGCATCGATCGTAATCGTTGTCTGGCTGACAAAGGCTTGAGATCTTACGCTTGGAAGAGTGATACAGCGTCCTCTAAGATTGGTTGGGGTAGCTCCGGTTATTTGGTTTTGGTGCTGCCTTCTCTTTCATCTCATAGAGTCGATCAACCGCAACAAGAACGCCATTCTAGTTCGTAGTAGTCTGTCTTGCTGTCCTGTCCTTTACGCGACAAGATGGTATCGTCTGATCTGGGTGCTGCGAGTAGTGACAGCAAGTTTGTTACCTTCCAGCCAACCATCACCATTGTGCGCTTTCATGAGCTTCGTACGGCAGCGGAACGATGGCACTCGATTCCTGATCGCAGACGCTTCATCCAGCAAGCCCGTGAAGAAGCCCAGCATTGGATTGATAAGGGTTGTTACGAGTTTCTCCTGAAGGATTCCTTTCACGAAGGCAGCGACGAGTTGGCGCAAGCCAGGATGAACGCATATGCGCAGCTGCCTGGGGAGGACTACTGTCGTGGGTTGGAACGCCATGTGTGTCGGGAACATGGACTCAAGAGGGATTCCTTCAAGAAGGGTGCTATCAGAGCAATCGTCAATGAGGGGAGGAAACGCAGGGATGCGGGTATGCCTCTGGACAAGTCATGGTACCAGTTGGGCGAGATATCCAGGAAACTAAGTTTCTTGGCCGCACGGTTTGCACGACGTGTGGGGACTGCAGATGAGATTGTGGTTCGGCTGGGGGAAGACGCCTCCAAGGTGGATAGGCTGCGGATGGATGCCGATCCCATCCAAAAGCTACGACAGCACAGGGAGTATGAGGACCCGGCCTTGGAGAGCCCCGTTAAAAAGACCAAGGAGATCTGTGTTGGCGCTTCAGGAGAAACGAGCGTCGGCGAACATCAAGCGCTGCAGGTGCAGCGCCAGAACAATCACAGCGCACAGTGCGCAATCACAGCTACCGGTATCAATGGTTGGTGCCATGGCCCTAGGGAATCTATCATTAATGTACCTGGAGTGAATACAGGAGGAATCAGCAGCGACTGCTGAAGACTTGACAAGCTACTCTTGCTTCCGGGGATGATGTCTGCTTCCTATGTATAAAGTAACAGAACTGACTCTGTTCATTCTATTTGGCTTTCGTAGCTTTACTCCCGATAGTAGGAGGTGCAAGCCGCGACCGAAACTGGTGTACAGGAGCCTCACAAACGGCGCTACCAGTACCGGTGCCGTAAGGAGGAACAGCGACGTTCACGTACTGGTTCCAGCGGTCTACCTCGTCTACCTTGAGGCGTCGTTCAGCGACGGAAGAAGACTGGGAAGAGGAGAACTGCACTGTTGAAGAAGATTTGGGCTATTGTGAAACTCGACTTCAAGCAGGGCAGCAAGCAGGCGAAGCAAAGAGCACATTCCTTGGATCTTTCACGGAACGCGAACACTGTGGGGGATGAAGCAACTTCGATTGGAAAGAACTAATGATTCTTAAGCTTAAGTCAAGTTAAAGATATGGAGATGAGAAAGGGGTGAGTGGGAAGGATCTTTTTCATTGAAGCAATGGGGAAAATCATGAGCGATGAATTGGCTCTGCCACAACCAAGGGAATGCTCTCTTGTCTTGAGTCTGGTAATACAGATATGTGGGCCACAGGAACAGATACCGATACTCTTGCTGCAACTGCAGCGGGCAAGGTTGTACCAGGGATCACACTATCTGGGTATGTTGCAAGAGACGAGGGTTTATTTGTGCCAGGTAGTGTTCTCGAGAAGACGCCGACAGGAATAATGAATTCCGGGTTGGTGTATCTTCCTCGTGTTTTGACCGTGACCACGAGCTGATGGGATACTCGAATATTCTGGCCTTTGAGATCAGCTGTGGCATGTTGTGGCACTGGTGGTAACCTCAGTGCTTGCGCATCTGTTGATTTGATCAATTCCTGCATAGTAGTGCTTGTTGTGCCACATGCCTTGATCTCTTGGATTGTGCCCTTGTCAAGCGGTTTGCTGGGATTCTCTAATGAAAAATCCTGGCTGACCAGTGTTGTGCTAGACTTTCTGAAGTGTGTGCTATCAATGCTTGAGGCCTTCCAGTCAACAATCTCCTGCAGAGATAAGGACACACTCTTGGCAGTTGCTCGACTGCAATTCTTGATTGACAATAGGATGCCTGCCTGCTGACTTGGCACAAGGTTTGTATCAAGCATCTTGGCATCAATGCACATATCTCCTTTATTCCACAGTCCAAGGTAGCTGATGGGATGCACTGATGGATTCATAATGTATGGCACTGACTGCTGTGGCGCTGGTGTGCCCTCGACAGCGACATCCTGTCTAGCTTCATAGTGTTGCAATGCACCAGAACCCCTGATTACAGCACCAAGGCAATATCCAATTCTGGCATGTGCGTCCCCCTTCTTGACAGTTCCCATACTGGATGGCAGATTTTCGTCCAGCTTGAATTGAAAAGGAAACTTGTATATGCCTGGTTGGATGATGCCAGGAGGTCCGCCTCGAACAAGTCTTTGAGCCATGCGACCAGAGTGGTCAAGGTCCACATGCACAATTTGGACCTCGTTGAGATGTGATCTTCTTTGTTTTCCATATTTGCTGACAATTCTGGTGTATTCCATGCCACGGAAATAGACCTCCACTCTCTGTGCTTTGATTTTTCGAGTGACACCAATGGTCAGGTGTCCTGAGAGTATGCCACCTGCTTGAGCTGTTTGTTGGTCTACTTGGAAACTTAGAGTTGCCATCGTTGCGTGTTCTTTGGTTGGTTGCTGTTTTGGTTTGTTTGTTTGTTTTGTGGGCTTTCAGCAACAGCAACAACAACTTGAACAATACAGTACACGTACTTTGAACTGCGGTTTTGTGGAAGTACAAGTTGGCCAGTCATGCTTCGTTCAGCTTTTTGTTGAATTTTTAAGCCAGCGGAGCTGTGTAACCTCGGCAGAAAGGTTTCAGTGTTTACATGTAGAAGCAGATACCCCGAGCTAGCTAGCTAGAAGCAGATACCTCTAGTGCTTAGCTAGTGCTTAACTTGCGCTTAGCTAGCTAGAAGCAGATTCCCATAGCAAGCTAGAAGCAGATACCCCTAGCTAGCTAGAATACAAGTTATATAGCTTTCGCTGGCTTTAGAGTTTTTCCTGGTAGAAGCAGATCCCCCTACTAGGATGCATGTAAATAGCTTTAGCTGGTTTAAAGCACCATCCTAGGATACTTATTTATTTTTTGCTGACTTATTTGTATTCTAACCCTACCCTTATACCTGCAGGGACCACCGTAGCAGGAAAAACAATTAAAGGGGTTGAGGGCTCTGGCAGCAAGACTGCCGAGGTAAAATAGTGTGCATGGACACTCGACTCGACTCGACTCGACTCCCACAGTCGTTTTCACACACGGTTGTACGGTACCACCGGTCTGATCGATTCGATTCAATCGATTCGATTCTTCGATTCTGTGTCGGCAAGATACAGTCGTGTTGTCTTTACGATGACATCACCCATCAGTTTCAAGTGGTGGATCTGTTCTCACATCTCACGGAACCGTCCACTCAACAAACAGCAACCTCGCAATTGCTATTACATGTAGCTAGCTAGCTGCTGTGCTTGATCAACACTGAGTCGACTCTGGTGCACTTGCTGACACCAACGTCCTTTACCCCAACAAGACAACCAGCTCTACTTGAATAGGTCAGACCATGTTTGCCTCCACCATTCGCACCTCCTTGGCTTCAAGCCGGAAAGTTACATGTTCGGCCACTGGTGTGGGAGGACGATGTCTCTCAGGAGGAGCCGGTTATGGTAACGTTCGAGATCAGGTCCTTCCAACCGAGCAAGAAACGGAAAGAGAACTGTTTCAACATTGCAACTATCCACGAACAGCCAACGTTATCAGGTATGTTGATTCCATTATGAAAGATATTCTTGCAGCTACCCATAATGCTAATGTCAGCTTTCTCCCCTTCGTCAATTTTTCAAACTGCAGTGCTCCAATGACATATGGACAACCATATGTGGGCACGGTAAGTCTGAAGCGGACACCATGGATACTAAGTTGCATTGTCTTGTCTCACAAATATAGATTTCCTCATTATTCTTAGGACTGTGGTCCAAGATGGCTCAAGGAGGCTGGTTTGAGGTCCATGCTCTCCAATTTGGGATGGCGTGTCAAAGAAGCGCCCGCTTTGGATTTTGATGACTTTAGCGTGCACAAACCTCCCAAGGTTAACAACTCGGCCAAAAATAGCCATATTGTCGGTGAGGGAACTCTCAAACTGGCAAAATTGGTGGAAGAAACCATTGTTGCCGGAGAGTTCCCATTGATTCTGGGTGGAGACCATTCCATTGGATTGGGTAGTTTGGCAGCTGTGCTCAAGGCACGGCCAGATGTTGGCATTATCTGGGTGGATGCTCATGCCGATTTGAACACTCCCAATTCGTCTCCTAGTGGCAATATGCATGGAATGCCAATTGGGCTTTTGATGGATGGTGTCTTGACTCCGGACGAGATGCCTCCTGGTTGTGAGTGGGTGAACGATTATCCTCGTATATCTCCCGATTCCATTGTTTATGTTGGATTGCGTGATGTTGACTCGGAGGAACGAAAGTTGATTCGCAAACTCAACATCAAAGCCTTTACCATGACCGACATTGATCGCTACGGCATTGGTAGAGTCATGGAGATGTCCTTGGGCCATTTGTTGCAAGACAACCCCGACAGGCCATTGCATTTGAGTTATGACATTGATGCTGTTGACCCCGTCTTTGCTCCCGCCACGGGCACCACAGTTCGAGGTGGATTGACTTTCCGAGAAGCTCACTATGTGGCCGAGTCGGTTGCTGCCAGTGGTAACCTGGCCAGTGCCGAGATTGTCGAATTGAACCCCAACCTGTCCGACGGCAGTGGTGCCACGGAAACAGTCGATTTGGGTCTTCAGATCGTCACATCACTCATGGGAAAGAGCATTATTTAGAGAGAAGGAAAAACAAAAGAAAAGAAAACAAAAAACCAATTCGCACACTGCATACATCATGATCAGTAAGTAGAACAGCCATTCATTTGTTTGCAAAAGCAAACGACAACTTTCGCAGAGGATCAAGACGGCGAATCTACCACTCCAATAAACGAAGAAATTTAATACAATACACCAAGTGAAATTGAAAGAAATTTACTTAACTCATAGATTACAATGATATGATTTCTTCTTTATTTTATTTATTTATGCAAAGAGAAATAGAGTTCAACATATTACAGTACCAATGTGTGAGATTGGTTGCTGGCTGCTAGCGCGGGTCAGCTGTTAGACGGATGTCATTTCCTGTCTGCTATGAACGCTACTATATTCTGGAAGCAAAAGCAGGACGACCATGGGCCACAAAAGCCACCATAAGGGCTTGCCTTGTACAGCCTTGGAAGAAAAATAAATGTGCGTGTCCAACAATGCCCTTTTTGATTCGATTCCATTTTATGGTTCAGAGCCGTTAGCTGTTATGAGGAAGATGAGAAGACGGAAGAGTCGCTGGTGGCGACATTGTTGGACGTGCTGACCAAGAGTGGCACACTCAAATCGTTGTTGTCGTTTGTCCGATGGTCCTGTCGTCGTTGTCGGCTAGTACTAGCAATGGTTCTTGTCGTCGTCGTGCCTTGCCAAAGGTACTGCGGGCGTTTGCTTGCGCAAAAGCCCGCCACAATGCAATCGGCTCCAATGTAACAGAGCGCATCAATATTCCACAACAAGGTGGATGACAAGTTGCACCATGCCAGCGTGACCGCCGACAGGGTGGTATCCAATGTAGGATCATAGAGATAACTCATAATGACGTCCATGATGGATCCAATCAAGAACAAGATAATCCCCACTGCCATGAGGAGTCGGACCTTGTTTTGGTATCGTTGTTGTTGTTGTTGTTGTAAAGGTGACCAGAGTAATTTTCGTTGTTTGTGTATCACCAAGAGTCCACTGAGCAGGTATGTGTGCATGGAGACCATATTGACTCTAGCAGCAAAAGTCATGTGGCTGGCTTCGTCTAGAAAGGTTGCGTAGAATTCTAGAATGGCGCCAATTCCAAAGACGGCGGCTGCCATGAAATCCCATAATTTCTCATCGACTAGTTCATCGTCAATGCTGGTTGTGGTGGCTGTGTTTGTTGTGACTGGTTGTGTTGTTTGTTCTTCTGGATCTTCTTCTTCTTCTGGTAGAGCTGGTTCATACGATTGTTTCCTCGTCATCATACTGCTGGTCCACTTGTGCCATCCTCGAGAGAGAATAAAACAGGATTGTCGATTGTTATTGTTGTTGGAATACTCCGTAGGCAGTGTGAGAGAATAAATGACTTCCACAAGCGCATTGAGGATATAGAGAAAGGGTCCCAACGCAAAGAGGAACTGATAAATGTGTGCACTGGTGAAGATTGCTCCTCCTCCGTCATTACTACTATAGTCCTCTCCATCATCTGTTACTGGGGCGCCTGTGGAAGCGTCGTATGCCGCATCAATACGAGCATCGCGGACATCCCACGAAGCAGTGACCGTTTGGACGCACGCTCCCAACAAGAAGAATAGATTGGATGTCAATCGGAACTTGAGATCTTGGGGAGACGCTGTAGTATAGTCCTCTTCACTGCTGCTACTGCTGCTACTGGATGATGAAGAGGATTCGTCGTCGTCGTCATTTTCATCGGGCATGTCGTCTTCCACCAGAAATCGACTGTCGTCTTGCGACGTAGTAGTGGCTTCCGTGACACTGTCCGCACTGCTGCCGGGTTGCTTCCACTTTTTGGAAAAGAGGGCATCCATGCGATCGCCCATAGAGATGGGGGATTCTTCATCGTCGTCATCGCGGTGATCTTCGTTGTGGTTGAGCGACATGGTGGTTCGAGTCCTTTGTCTGGAGGTTCTTGAGGAGTGTCGTTTTCGTTGTCGAGGAGGAGATAAGGATCGACTGCTGCTGGGCTGGATGGTCCAATGGACGTTGTGATCAGAAGATTTTTTGACAACGGAAGAAGGAGACGACAAGAGAGGAGACGACAAGTCTCTTTGGAAGCTATTTATGCTGCTAGTGTGTCTTCTGGTGGGTCGTCTTTGCAACATTACATATGGCTTTCACCCTCGCTGACTCCTCAAGAGTCTTGTGAAGGTCACCAAAAACTCCAAATTGGCGAAACGACTTCCTACTTCCGTTCCCGTTGAGGAAAACTTGTTGATGCAAACAACCCTCTTCTCCCCAGGTCAGATTGATTCAATTCAATTCAATTCAATTCAGCCGTCAACAATACAAGAGCAACTCGCTGGAGGAGCTACGAATAGACTTGTAGCTTCCAGAGCAGCGGTTTGTTGTTACTATTGTTTGCTTGCTTGTTGTTGGATGCGTCGGACAGATTGTGGCATCAGAAGAACAGAATTCTCGAGGCACGAAAGAAAGACGCGATGTCTTTTCCACGGTCACCACACTGCGTGGTACTTAGTGTACAGAGTGGTATGTACTGTAGCTTGGCGCGACGCACAAGAGCTCGACATCTCTGACCATTGCAAAACGCCCATGGTTGCTGCCACGCTGCCACACGCGCACACGAGAGCTTGGCAACATGCTCCTGTGACTTGATAATATCATCTCTTCTTGTCGTGAAGGCCCGTGCCCCCCACAGTTGGTGGCTCCAAGATCTCTTCCAAACCAACGCTTGAGCTCTAGCTAGCTAGGTATTATAAATAATCATGGAGCAGCTGTAGTTATCTAGCTAGCTAGTACCGGAAGTACCTCCAATGCCAAGAAATTCTGCAGGGCTCAGCCAACAACATGGTTTATCCAAACATGCAGAATTGGGATCATCCCGCCCTCCTTGCAGCTGGCATTCTCTTGTATGAAAGGACTGGACAATGTCAAGTAGCCTTTCCAAGAGAATCCAGCTCTGGCATCATGCATTCTTTCTCTCCTGATGATCGCATCTCCTCTGAATCGAATCACCAGTCTACCGGTACAGCCAGCATGCACTCAAGTGAACTGGCTACCCAGTCGTTACTACTACAAAAGTTCCAGGCTTTGGTTTGCCACGCGGTACCTAAAGCTTGGAAGGCCCCCAAGCTTTGTAGAAAATTATCTATCTTGGTTGTTCAGAGGAATTGTACCGTGCGCAGAGGACCTTCCAACTCTTCGGGTTTCATTTGAGACAGGAGTTTCAAGTTGGCCCTACTACAGTAGCACCAATGCATCGTTTAGCAGTGTGACCAATGACGACAATCAAATTGTCTACGAAGATTGGATCTCGTTGGGTGATTAGACTGCCCCCTGTTTCTTGAAGGAGAACGGTTCCCGGCCGACCAGCAGATTTTCAGTGACAAGAACAACACTACAGTGGATTCCAAACACCCCCGTGCTTCTTTGTGCATCAAGACTTGCCGTAGTACAGAAAATTTTGAGTGCAGTTTGATTGTGTTACTTTTGTATACTAAGATGTAATATCAGCTGTGATATTCAGTAGTTGTGGATATGAAGTGCGAGTATGTTAACTATACCGCAGAGGTCAACGCAGACGCGTAAAATCAAAGGGTAACAGGATCTCTTTCTCAATGCCAGGCCTGTCGTAGGAACGCCCCTTGTCATGAGGACAAGTGCCAAATGTCAAACCAACATCTGGACATGCGGTAGCTTGCTGGGGTGCGATTGTACTGCTATGAGCTGCAGTTTCTTCCATCTCGGGCAGTGTGCCGATGTAGATCAAAGTTCTCCCACGAAGCTTCCTCCCTGGCGAATTAAAAAGTAAAGGAAAGTAATGCCCAGGGCCAGCATGACCTCCTGTCCGCTGTGACTTGCATACCGTGACCGTTTCTCGAGCCTCGATCGGATGATGTCTTCTAGAATGTCATCTGGGTGCGCCGCTTCGATGCATGAAGAAGTTGTGGAGGTATCGTCTGCCTCTCCGTCGATATTCCTAACGTCTTCCTTTGACAAAGTCGCTGTCATGTCCTTGCTATCAACCTTCATTCTCTGCTTTTTATAATATGTCACAAATATATTCTCACGATGTAGTAGTCTACTAGTAGTACTAGCAGACCAACCAAGGCTTCTTTGAGATTGTGGATCCTTTGAAGGCATTCTTTGTTGATGGTTTGCGATGCCAGAACGACACACGGAGAAGAACAAAAGCGGCAAAAGACCGTTGGAGATCTTTTGGGACAGCTGGCCTTCTGTGACATCATTCTCGCGGCATGCGCGTGGGATACACGGTAGTCGCACACCTCCGGCACGAAATTCCAACCTACCGGTACCAGTACTCCACTGTGAAACAGCTCTATTGCCCGTGGTCATGAGATCGCTCATTGGAGTGTGGCGGAGTCATCTGCAGTGCTCGGCACGCAATGCTACCTACCATGATAGCTGCCAGCAACCGGTAGGCATGTTCTGCTGGCATCAAGAAACAGATCAATGCATCAATGCCTCTATCCCATGGGTTAAGGCCGGTGTCATCACTAAGCTTTCCTAAAACTGGTCTTACTTCTCAAATTGTCTACTCTTTATGTATTCTCTCTACTTTCTCATCAGCCTCTCAACGTCACTTCTTTCAGGGAGTGCCTTCCAATAAGTCAGGGCTGTCAGGGCTGTCAGGGCTGTCAGGAGCATTGGGATCATCAGGGCTATCAGGGCTATCAGGTGAATCTGGGGAAACAACGGTCTGCAAGCTGCGGCCACCATTGGGGGAAGTATCAATGCTGTCAGGGCTGTCAGGAGCATTTGGATCATCAGGACTATCAGGGCTATCAGGTGAATCTGGGGAAACAACGGTCTGCAAGGTGCGGCCACCATTGGGAGAGGTATCAATGCTGTCAGGGCTGTCAGGAGCATTGGGATCATCAGGACTATCAGGGCTATCAGGTGAATCTGGGGAAACAACGGTCTGCAAGGTGCGGCCACCATTGGGGGAGGTATCAATGCTGTCAGGGCTGTCAGGAGCATTGGGATCATCAGGGCTATCAGGGCTATCAGGTGAATCTGGGGAAACAACGGTCTGCAAGGTGCGGCCACCATTGGGGGAGGTATCAATGCTGTCAGGGCTGTCAGGAGCATTGGGATCATCAGGACTATCAGGGCTATCAGGTGAATCTGGGGAAACAACGGTCTGCAAGGTGCGGCCACCATTGGGGGAGGTATCAATGCTGTCAGGGCTGTCAGGAGCATTTGGATCATCAGGACTATCAGGGCTATCAGGTGAATCTGGGGAAACAACGGTCTGCAAGGTGCGGCCACCATTGGGAGAGGTATCAATGCTGTCAGGGCTGTCAGGGCTGTCAGGGCTGTCAGGAGCATTGGGATCATCTGGGCTTTCTGGGCTATCAGGTGAATCTGGGGAAACAACGGTCTGCAAGGTGCGGCCACCATTCGGAGAGGTATCAATGCTGTCAGGGCTGTCAGGGCTGTCAGGAGCATTGGGATCATCTGGGCTTTCTGGGCTGTCTGGAGAAGTGGCCACTTGTTGAGTGCGGCGACGCAACGAAAACTTTGCGTCAGCAACCGTGAAGACGGATATCGCGAGGAACGCTTTCAAAATGCAAATCTTCATGATCGGGATGAGCTTTGGGTTTGATTTGTGTGTTCAACTTTGGTCAAAGTTAATTTGTGCGCTAGAAATGTGCCGCAGTTTTTGGCTGGGTTATGCGGTGTGCAAGATCGGCAGATCCATCTGCTCGTAGCTTCGCAGCGGTATGGGTACCGGTAAAGACTAGCTTTCGGTACAGTGGCCAAGTCACTGGTCCCGGCTCCCGCTTCGTTCCTTGGTCGAAGTTGGGGTAAAATACTAGTTTTGTTACTCTGAAAAACGGTCTCATCGAGCTACGGACTTGATGCTTCAACGCTACCTGATCTTGGCAAACAAAAGGAAGAAAAGGGATTGGTGGGCCAAATCATCAATTGTTTACAGTTTGCATGCCTCACCCTGACGTGTCTCTCCCCAAGGTTTGATTTGAAGGCCTTGGAGGTTGACGCTGGCATGCAAGATTGGATTGCGATGGAACCTGACCTGTTGCCGACGACAGCTAGATCTACATGTAGTTCATGCTTGCTGATCCGTTGGCAGTCTACAAGTACTACATGTAGTTATTAGGAATAAACGATTTTATGTTTCTGCACTGCTCAGCATTTGCCTCCGCTGGGGACTCCAACCGAGACACAAGCCGCGAGATAGGAGCTGAGAGGAAGCGTTGTCGTGACCAAATAAATTACAGCCAGATAGAAATCATTCGAATGCTAAATCTATTCTAACTTCGTATCGAATATTCGGTGTTTGGTGGACCATGGCATGGTGAGTGAGTACATGTACTAGCTAGCTACTAGCTAGAGCTACTGGTAGTACCAGTACAGTCGTACCGGTATATCAGGAAGTAACCGTTGGCATCGATTACTTCTAGCTTGCCGTCGACCAAGATACAATAAGAAACAACCAAAGAAACAAGCAGCAAGTAAATCATGGACTGCTGTGGCGGTGGCAGCCTTTTCATGGAGCCAAGATCCACTTATTCTCCAACATTATCCGATGAAACTCTGCGGAAACTCCCCGATGGCAGGACGCTGGCATACCGAATTTGCGGCGAGACTGCAGCCAATTGCAAACAAGTGGTCTTTGCCTTTCATGGAGCATTGGGCACGGGCGACTTTGATCATTGGTCTTATATCTTCCAAAAGCTTGGATGGCTTGTGATCTCACCGACGCTGCCAGGATGGGGTCTCTCTTCTGCTAATCCATGCTATACGCTAAATCACTATGCAAAATACGACATAAAGCACTTGACGGATCACATTTTTGATACAGTTCTCGGTTCCAACACGAAACTGGAACGATCCTTTCTGTGCATTGGGATCTCTTATGGATGTATCCACGCCATTGCATGTGCTGTGCATCTTTCGGAACAAGTATCAGGTCTTTGCCTTCTCGGTCCTCATGGCCCTTTTGACGACCCATCCTTTGACCCACTACAAGGCATGGCTTTTCAATCCAAACTTGGATTGGGTACCGTTGGCTTTTACATGCCATCGATGACCAGTATCACTGGGAAAATGGTGCAAACATCTGTCTCCACTCCTTCAAAAGCGAGGGAATTTGTAAAGACCAATCTACTAGATGCCATGAATGATGCTGAAAAACAGCACTTTGCCGCGGCCTCGAAAGATCTACAGAACAAGGTTGCTTCTGGTGAGGGTATACGCGACAGTCTCTCTGTCTCAATCCAGGGATATGTGGATATTCCTGTTGTTCTGCGAAGTTGGAGTGTCAAAGATTTGCAAAAGATCGAATGTCCCAGTCACATATTTGTGGCCAACGACGATGTGCAGACCCCCGTTCATGGTGCTAGGTATATCCACGAAAAGCTACAAGAGTACGGCAAACGCTCCAAATTGACCGAGTTTGACAAAGGTGGTCACATGACTCTTGTGTTTTGTTTTGATGAGTGCCTGGAAGCCTTTGTCAAGGAATCGTCTGAATCATCATGATGAGCAAATTTTACAACCATTCCACAAACAATGACGATGTGCTAGACACCCATAATATACCTTTGGCCACTATCATGTACAATAATTTTTAAAAGTATGCTTTTTACTCTTATTACTGTTACGCTGTTTATGATTACGCTCATGCCGCTTGGACAAGCCGATACAGATTGCAATCTGGATCTGCCACAAAAAAGGAATGTCCTTCCACGGAAGGTAGTTTCTCTTTCTTGAGCCCCAGCGACGCCACTTCGTCTTCGGAATAGACTGCCGCCCCAGCCGCTTTGAGTGCTTCTTGACTTGCTTTTACATCTTCCACTTCAAAGGCAACATAGATAATGCCCGGTTTCAGAACCCCATCGACCATCAAGATATTCTTGGTACTGGAAGAAGGCATGTTGGCATTGATGAGCAAATTGATATCAATCAGTGTCTCCTTGGTCCGCGAGATCCACGGGATAAAGTTCTTGAGTGGTTCTTGTGGATTGTGTTCTAGATGGAATACTTCTTGGGTGAAACCCAGCATTTCCGCATACCACTTCCAACTCGTGGGTGGATCGGATACCCTGGTTCCCACGTGATCAATGCGCCTGTGTTCATCCCCCAACATGGTGCCATCAAACTGTTCGATGGTTGTTGCGTCACCCACATTGCGTTCTAACTCCCACGTGATTTTATCCAAATCTCGAATGAATATGGATTGGACTTTACCCTGAAACTTGCGTTCTCCAGTGACAGGAATACCGTGCTTGTCTTCGACAAATTTTCTGGCTGCTGCTACCGATGGCACAAAGAATGCGGCATGAGTGTGCCCACAGTATTTCTCCGTAGGAGTATCCTGTAAAATGTTGAATATCTCTTCTTCCGTGCCATTGTCATTTTTTATGGGTCTCGTGGGAGCCTCGTCGGCTTGTAGAAGGTGAAGTTGCATGCCGTTGGGGTTTCGGAGAATTCTGCTGTTGGGAGGATCCAATGGTTGGAATCCTAGCTTTCCAAAAAAGGCTGTGGTGGCTGACAAATCCATTGTAGCAAGCCCCAAGTGATGGTATTTCAAGACTTGAGCGACCGGCGGGGTGTCGATAATGGTCTTGTTCCCTTTTGCTCGGAAGATATGAGAGTCATCGCGCGGCATTTCTTCGCTGGCTGATCCTGGGCTAGCCAGACTATTGGTTTCGTATCGTTCTCTTCAGTGTTCTCTCTCACTCAACTCTCGGAATCAACGGCGGGGTGATAGGTAGAGGTTGTTTCCTGATCGTTGATGCTTGATGGTAGTCTTGGTGTTGGATCATCAGAGTGGCAAGGGTCAAGAGGTCGCGAAAGATCGCAATTAAAATTTGTTCACGGATACGAGACTCGTGACCGAATAACGGCCAGCGGAGACACGTTCTAACGGCCATATCTTTTTGGACCACGTATGAACCACAGCCCAGCATTGGCCAAGGACAACCATCGCCCTCAAAGCCCATCATAATTTATTTGCAGTAAAGGTTGTTGCAACCTAACTCAATGGAAAAAGACCCAAAAAAACAAAAGACAATGGCAAAGTTTGAAGGTAAGATCGCGCTAACCAAAACTGACCAGTGAGAGATTTTTGGTGTGTTTGTGGAATGGGTAGCTCATCCCGTTTTGTCTTCTTTGTTTTCAGGTTTATTGATGGGTATGGGAAATCCCCTCCTGGATATTTCCGCCACTGTCGGACAAGATCTACTCGACAAGTACGAAGTCAAACTGGATACTGCCATTCTCGCCGAAGACAAGCACCAACCTTTGTTTAAGGAACTCATGGAAAAGTACAGTCCCAGCTTTATCGCTGGTGGCGCCACGCAAAATTCCATCCGGGTTGCCCAATGGATGCTCAAAGACAAGGCCGGACAAACTGCCTTTATGGGATGTGTTGGCAATGACGATTATGGTAAAACACTCAACGAATGTGCTTCCAAAGATGGTGTCTTGGTACACTACATGAAGGATGAAAAAACTCCCACTGGAACTTGCGCTGCCCTCATTAAGGATGGCGAACGTGCTTTGGTGACCAACCTCGATGCTGCCAACAATTTCAAGCCATCCCATTTGGATACCGACAAGGCCAAGGAAATTATCGAATCTGCCAAATTTTATTACATTGCTGGATTCTTCTTGACTGTCAGTCCCGAGGCATTGGCCATTGTCGGAGATCACTGCGTCGCCAACAACAAAGTGCTGGGATTGAACTTGTCGGCACCCTTTATTGTCGAATTTTTCGGCCCCAAAGTCAAGGATGCTCTCGAATATGCCGACTTTGTCTTTAGCAATGAATCCGAAGCGGAAGCCTACGGAAAGGTCAACAACCTCGGCAGCGACTTGAAGGAGATTGCTCTTAAAATCTGTGAAGGACCCAAGAAGAACAGCAAGCGATCTCGAACTGTCATTTTCACGCAGGGATCCAAATCCACCATTGTGGCACACGACGGAAAAGTCACGGAATATGCCGTGGAGCCATTGGCCAAGGACAAACTGGTGGACACCAACGGAGCGGGTGATGCCTTTGTGGGAGGATTCTTGTCGAAATTGATCCAAGACAAACCCATGGAAGAGTGTGTCAAGGCAGGCCACTGGGCCGCCAAGTTCATCATTCAAACTTCGGGAACCACTTTGGCCACAAAGTGCGATTATGAAGGTTAATTATTAACAAGCGACAATGTTTGAAAGCCACAGCCACTACAGGCAGGCACAACAATAATCCACTATAAGCTTTGGACCTTTCATAGAGTTTTGCTGTGTATGTGATTGCGTTTGTCTGCTCCAAAATGTGTGGCACTATACACCGTGTGAACAATGGGAGTGCTAACATTGTGGCGCAGATAGTCCTGAACCGTCTTCATCGTGGTACCAGTATTGCATACTTCTTCAATCTAGTGATTAGTCCAAGATGGTGTAGTGACTCAACTGTCGCTACGGTACTGTGGTGCTAGCTTGCCAGCATATGTTTTTTCACTTCGGCAGGGCAACCATGGCATGGCAACATTACATTCATACTATCAGCCACCAATCAAGAGAGCATCGCCATTCCCTACACTTTCAAATATGACAAGAAGGACGGATTCGTCTGTAGCAGATAAAACACAAGGTCCGTGCTTTCTCGTTCACTGACAATCTTGTCCAGAAATTCGGTTGGCTCCGCGTTCACGTAGAGATGCATGTCTCGGATGTCACATTGGTTGAGTCTCAAGTAGAAATCAATCTTGCTGCTGTTGAGGGCCCCTTCCTCTGTCACATGCACATTGTTGCCCCAAAAACTCAAGGTTGTGACGGATGGATTCACTCTCATTCCAAGAGCAATGGATTCAATAAAAGCATCGTCCATAACGTCACATCGCAAACTCAGTGATTCTAATGTCAAGGGGAGTGCCGGTGGTGTGTTTATTGTGGTTGTTATTGTTGTTCCACCAGAAGTGTCATCCTGCTCCGTTGTGGTGGTACATGTACTAGTATTGTCACCCTTTAACAAGCGTGTCAATAATGTCAGCGTGGTGTTGTCCGGTTTCTCTGGGAAGAACATGAGACAAAGATTCTTGAGCCCGGACGGCCGTATTCGATCCAAGGGCTCGACAAAGTGACTGCTGTGGTAGTACACTTTGAGAGTTTCCAAGCTGGGAATATTGCAGACTGTTTCGGCCAGCATCTCCTTTTCTTCCTTGTTGGGAATGGCATCAAAGAATGCCTCGTAGATTGTGACGCTCTTGACCACTTGGTTCATCTCCAAGGCTCGAATGAACCGTGCAAAGTCTTCCATTTGTGGGAGAATCAACTCCAAGTGATCAAAGTCTCTGCGGTTGTTCATCAAGGCTGCCACGATCCAGTCTTCGTCTGGTTCTTCTGGAATCAAGTCCTCGTCCGAAAATTGATAGAGATCAAATTCTTCATTGTCGGACTGGGCATGCATCACGTAGGATTCATTATCGTAATCGCCCCAGTTGTTCCACAAGGCATCTTCGTCGTTGTCGTCGTCATGATTGTCCAAACCACCAGTCGGTTTGGGACGACCTTCCACATCGGAATCATCCTCATCGACGTCCGAGAACTGGTAAATGGCAAAATCCTTGTAGGAATACCCCGAACTCTCCTCGCCAGAATCGCCGTAGTAGTCACTCATTCTTCTTGTCTTTTCCTCGATTGATTCCGTATATAGATCTAATATACCGTATCTTACACGAAAGATGATGCAAGTTCGCTGTTCGCTGTTGTGGTTGTTGTCTATTTATCGCAATAATAATGCTACTTATTGTAGTTCAAACCCTAACGGCCAAAAGATGGATCTTTAGATCTTTTCATCATTTTGCTTTTGGCCTCTCATTTCTTCTAAACGTACGTAGCCCCTCATTTTTAGTAACACAAAACCAAAACCTGGATAAAGGACTCTAGTAGTCTAACTATGGCGGAGAGTAGTCCTACTAGTGAAGCCAAAAAGCTGAAGATGGCATCCATTCGAGATCGTCTAAAGCCCGATACTTTGCTCAAGATCAGCTTTGATAATGACGGCGACGACAAAAACGAACAAGCTCCTCGTTTTCTCGTTGCGTATTGGTCCATTCGAGGTCTGGGTGCCCCTCTTCGAGCCATGCTCCATGCAGCACAAGTCAATCATGAGGTCGCCTTGTATGACTTGACCGAAGCCCCGGATGGCGATTCCGGCTTTGAAATGAAATCCTACGCTGCGGATAAAAAATGGCTCCGCGAAGAATACAATGGCTTTATGAATCTACCCTTTCTCGTAGATTCTTCTTCCAATCTAGTCATTGCGCAAACCAATGCCATATTTAACCACCTGGGTCGAGAATTGAACATGATGGGCAACAAGGAGGATGTGGCGGAACAGGCGAAAATTGACGAAATGCTCTGTGAAGTTATGGATTTACGCAACAAGCTCATCCAATTCTCCTACCACTCGGATGGGAGCAAAGGCGAGGCTCTCGAGTTGTGGAATCGCGCCAAGGCACACTTTCACAAATTTGAAGCGCATCTGGCCAAGCAATACCCGGACTACTTCCAAAAGATGCAATCCAAAGAGGAGAATGGTCCCAAGAAGAAGACCAGTGAACAAGCCAAAGAAGGGATTGCGCATTTGATTCCAGGGTCGTTTACAGCCCCTGACTTTCATCTGTGGGAAATGTTGGACCAATATGAAGGGCTCTGCCGTACCTTTGGAATTCCACTCTGGGCCAAAGAGGGAAAAGAGCAAACTACGGCGGTCAATTTTCAAAGTCGTCCCGATGTCAAACCGGAGGATCGAATCTTTCCTTACCTGGAAGAGTTTCGCAACAGTTTCATGATGCTACCAGAACTGGCAAACTATGCGGATTCCTACTTGCACAAGGAAATTCCACTCAATAATTGCATGGCCAAGTTTGCTTCGTGCTATCAAGACTTTCGCCAGTACCAGCGCGGACAAGAAGCACCTTGGCGTGCAAAAGGAGTGGTGGAAATTCGATACAAAAAAGTGTAGGGTACCAGCCAGAAAGATGTGTAGCTAGCTTCTTGGATAAGGTAGATTGAATCATTCTAGGAACCATAGGGTCAGAAGACAAAGCTAGTTACTCTAGTTGCTTTCTACATCCCGGACCTCATTGCTCCGCCTTCAGTAGGAGCCAAAAGATCCAGCCAGCCAAACAAGGAAACTCGACCTCTCGACTAGCTAGTGCAGCTGCGTCATGAGGAAACATGAGAGTGGTTGAATGACGATAAAAAGCAAGCTGCCAGCGCAGGTTGCCCAGACGCCTAGATTGACAGCAAAACCGGCACATACCGGTGCCGGAAGTCTGCAATCATGATCTACCGGTCACAAATCAACTGAAAAGTACTGCTTGGTAGCTCCATAGTATCCGCAGTTATGGCTACCACAGACAAATCAATCGGGGAATGACAAGTGCAGGCCTATTAATAGAGCCTTTGATGCTCTAAAGGCATCCCAAATGGTTGGATGCTGGTTGTTTGGATGCTGCTCAACCAATTTTTGCACCCTAAAACTAAGACTAGAGGAAAGAGAATGCTGCGTGCGTGCCCAAGCTTTGTACTCATTCTGAGTGTGGCTATGAGGAGGGAAGTATTGGCAAAGTCTTTCGATGAAGCCGACGATTAGAGATGGTCCAAGAATGGTGGGCATCCGGTTCCGAATTCAAGGTTTGGGCGGGGACGGGTGGGAAAGTGGTGTTGAAGAAGTACGTAATATAATTTAACTGGTTAACGGGGGCGACATACCCCGTGTCATCAGGACATTTTGTGTTCATTACTTGGTTCCCATTAAACAACCTGCTTGACGAATAAATCACATTGCCCTTACGTCAGCTTTTCCCGAGGCTGGCATCTTCCAATGATGAAGATGCGAAGATGCCATTGCCGGGGTCCCCATCACAACAAGGTCACGAATGTTCAATCGTTCCACGCTAGAATCCCACGCTACATACATTATACACCAATGATATTATGCTCATCCTCTTTTAGTTGCCCAGTAACCGTTACATCCTAACCTACTTGTATCCTTCCTACATGTATGTACCGGAATCCCCAGCTTTAAAGGTACCAAAGGCCCTGTTCATGAATCGAATCTGTCTCTCTAGCTAGACCCTCAGCTAGTGATTCATTCAGCGTGGAAAACACAACAACACGCTCCGCAATGCCAATCTTAGATGATCAAACACGCTTGGTAGATTGTGAAAATCAATCTCATGTCCTTACTTTTTCCTTTGTTGCTTGAGAGGATGATCTGACTGAAGCTTTTTCTTCTGGAGCTTTCCACGTTCCACGGTGAGGCCATTTTAGGTCTGCTTCGAGTGACCTTGGTTTGAATATCAGTTTCGTGGAGATCAAGAGATTGGTCTAGAATGTCCAGAACAGAGGCAGGAGCTGTTCAGTGTTGGAAAAGCTGTTGGAAACTCCTTTTCTGGACATCTTGAACAGAACCAAGCAGATACTCCAAGTCGGGTAGCTCAGGTAAATATTGGGTTAAATTACCTTGTGTTTTTGATTAAGAATCAAGTTTACCCCACGCCCCTGCAAATTCAAAACTGACTTCGGGCACTACGATTTATTCTCAAATTTGTCCTGGCTTTTTGGAAGACCCAAAGGAACATAGTCTGGGATGAAAGTATTAAGTAATTTGAAGGTCTGGACCCACGGACATTATAATACGACCACATGACTATAGGCGGAAAGGGGAAAACCGTTTGCCAACCTTAACTCTACAGTAACTCAATTACCTCTTTGGGTGCTGAAGGGTGGTCTGGCCTGTATCAGGCACACTGCAGGCACATACATGAATTTGAACCGAGGAGCTATTGTTGCTATTAAGGGTAGATCTAGTCGTCACTTTGGCACCGTTCTCTTGTCCTTTCCTTTCCTCTACAACCGTACAAGTCGTATACTACCCAACATTCGATTTTGTGGAAAAGTCTGCTGATCACAAACATGCCGAAATAGTCAATCCATCCTTGGGACCATAGGAAACGGCACCTCTCCAGATTGCAACAACACCATACCTTTTTGTCTCTAGAGACAAGAGATAACCTTGCAAACACATTCCGTCAAGACGAATCGGCATGAAGCGGGCAGGTGATTTTCAGCCAAGCGGCAAAGGTGAGGGCAAATCGCCGTCCGATCAAGGTACACGTGAA